GCAGAGAGGGAGAGAGGGCGAGAGGAAGAGAGGGAGAGAGGGAGAGAGGGAGAGAGGGAGAGAGGGAGAGAGGGAGAGAGGGAGAGAGGGAGAGAGGGAGAGAGGAGAGAGAGAATTGATTTCCCTTTGCGGGCTCATTCCCCCAGGGCATACAGGTACTTGGGGCTGAAGCCGGAGTCTGGAACTCAACCCAGGATCCCACATGGAGAGGCAGGGACCAAGGGGCGTGACCATCCCCTCCTGCCTCACGGGACGCCCTCAGCAGGCAGCCGAAGCCAGAAACCGAGCAGAGGCGTCCTGACCCGGAACGAGGGCACTGGCGAGGCGGCTTTAACCGCTGTGCCGGACACCGCCCCGGGAGTCTGAGATCTTTGCAAGCCTGGGTCCCGCCACACCTGAAGTTGTGCTGTGAAGCGACTCGGGTTCAGCGAGCCAACAGATCCCCCTTTTGTGGCTGAAGGCAGTGGGAGCCAGGCTTTCTGTTCCTGGCGTCAGCCTGGGGGATTGGACCCGCCGCGGCGGCTGCAGAGAGGGAGGTGTCCTGGCCCCCAGAGGTGGCCAGGAGGGCGGAGGACAAGGTGCAGGCTTGCGTGTGCCACAGGGACAGGCCTTGTCCATTCAGTCCGGGGGGGAGGGGCGCCCTCACCTCCCTGCTCCCAGACCACAAGGCCAAGGTGAGACAAGGCAGCCTTTGACAGTCTGGGAGCAGGGAGGACACAGAGGCCCCTCTGTCACCACGGCCACCGCGGGCTCCTCCCTCCCGCCCTCCCTCCCAGGCTGGAACCCACAGCCAGGCACCGGCCCTCCCGCGGGCCCCCCTGACTCAGAGGCGAACCCGAGCCCCCACTGCCACCCACAGGGCCCCGAACGCTCCTCTTCCTCAGGCCCCTGCCCTCGTCTGCCCCCAGTTTCCTCCGTGGTCACTACCGTGCTGGCCTCCCGTGTGCTCCTCCAAGGCAGCGAGCAGGCTCCAGCCTCAGGGCCTTTGCACAGCCTGTCTACGCTTCCTACAATACCCCTGCCCCCGGTTCTCCGGGGACAACTCCTGCGGGTCAGCCAGCTTTTGTTCAAACGCCTCCTGTCCAGAGAAGCCTCCCCTGTTCGCTCTACTTTCTGCTTAAAACGATGCTCTCGGGGCAGGTGCACTGGTTAGGACACAGCTATAATGCCGGCAACCCATATGGGCGCCGGTTCGAGTCCCGGCTGCTCCACTTCCGATCCAGCCTCCCTGCTGTGGCCTGGGAGAGCAGTGGAGGATGGCCCAGGTCCTTGGGCCCCTGCACCTGTGTGGGAGACCCGGATGCAGCTCCTGGCAGGGACAGGGTTGCATTCATTCACCGTTGCATTCATTCATCCGCCCCACCTGGGAAGGAGATGTGCACCGGCTCGCTGAGGTCCGAGAGCTGGGGCTGGCTGTGCTCGCCCAGCACGCCGTACTGGCAGTGGAAGGTGCCGCCGCCGCCCGCCCTGCCGCCGCCGCTCAAGTTAAAGGTGACGCTAAGCTGCTCCGCCGGGGCCTGCAGGAGCTGCACCACCTGGCCCCCTCGGTACAGCGTGAAATTCGCCCCGGGGAAGCCGCCAGGGGCCACGCACGAGATGTGGATGGGGTCCTCCTGGCTGCTCGGGTGTGGGGGCACCAGCAAGATGGACGGGGCCGGGATCGCCACGGAGCCTGCGGGGCAGAGGGGGAGGCCGTGCTGGCTGTGCGACCGCATGCAGGCAGAGCACCCTCTCTGGGCTGTTTTTTTTTTTTTCTTTTTCTGTGCATCAGGAGGCTGGAGACCCCTACCCGCACACCAGGAGGAAGGCGGGGGGATGGGACCCTGGCTCCAGTCCTTTTGTAGTAAAAGCTATGGTTACTCTGTTGCAACACAGAGTTGCCTTGGAGTGACCCTGGGGGGCTTCCTGGAGGAGGTGCTGCTATGCTCCAGTGTTGCAATTTGATCCCCATGGTGAGGTATTCAGGGGGTGGAAGTGGGTGGAGCTTTGGGATGGGGGTTAGATTAGGTCATCAGGGTGGGTCTCCCTCCCCCCACCCACACCAAGATGGAATGCTGGTGTTTCTACATGGAGGGAGAGACCGGGACACGTGTTCGTGTGTGATGCTAGGCCACCCTCAGATGGAGCCCCTTGGACCTCGAACCCGAACCCATGAGGGAAAACAAATGGCTACAATCCCCCAGCTTCAGGCACTTCGTGATGGCAACAAAAACACCGACTGCAGGCGCCTGGCATTGGGTGTGAGAAGCCACAGGGAACAGCATGGGTGGAGGCTGGGAAGGGAAGGGGCGTGGGGGGCGTCCCAGGAGGGCGACTGGGAGGGAGGAGGGGGAGGAGGGGGCAAGGGGGTCCTCTGGACTTCTCCAGGGTGCAGGGCGGAAAACAGGCTGTGGGGTAGGGCTTCCTGGAGGCGGAGGGCTCTCCTGGCTGCCAGCATCAGGCAGGGGTGGGGAGAGGGGATGCACCCACCCGTCTCCCCCTCTACTGAATCCCCCCCACACACCCAGGCTGGGTCCCAGGGCACAGGCATGGCTTCCCCTAATGACTGCCATCTCTCTAAGCCCTGACTTGGGGTGACAGGAGCTGATGGGGCAAAGCCCCCCTGCCCTGGGGTGGGGGGTGGGGGTCGCCGGAGGAGGCAGCTCCCACACAGTGGCTTCTGCCCCAGAGGAGCCCGAGGGGCAGGGGCGCAGGGCAGGGCAGGGCAGGGCAGGGCACTCACCGGTGGCTGCGAGAAGCAGGGTGATCCAAGGCATCGCTCCCGCTGCCTGCGGCCGGCCGGGGACTGTGGCGGAGGCCGGAGGGGCCCAGGGCTCCCCGCCAGCTCCTCCTGTGGGGCCGGAACAGGGAAAGGAGAAGCTGCCTCAGGGTTCCCTCACTCGCAGGAAGTTGCACACACACACACACGCACACGCACACGCACGGGCCCAGGCAGGGCCAGGGGCGCTGCCCTCTGCTCTCGCTCCCCCCTCCCGCCACTGCACGCCGCCCCATGCCCCCTCCCTGCACCAGTCTCGGTGTTGATTTTTCCCTCTCTCCCACTAGGAACGGACCAGGGCTTTGAGTGCAACGACCCTGGGCTGTTTGGGAGACTCCCGCCCCGCGTAGGGCCACAGCCCAGGCAGCTGGTGTGGGAGGGAAACAGAAGTGAGATGCAGAGTAGCGGGGCTTGGCCTTTGTGACCTCGGGCAGAGCTGGACTTGTCTGAGGCCTCGGTTTGCTGCCCTGCAGAATGGGCTGAGCGCCGAGGGAGGAAGCGGCCTGGGCCCAGTCCCGGCTGCTCCACTTCTGATCCAGCTTCCTGGGAAGGTGGTGGAGGGTGGGCCAAGTGTGTGCTTATTTGAAAGCCAGAGAGAGAGACAGAGAGACAGAGAGACAGAGAGCAAGTGAGCGAGAGGGCTTCCATCTGCTGGTTCACTCCCCAGAGGGCTGAAACAGCCGGGGCTGGGCTATACCCAAGCCAGGAGCCTGGAATTGCAATCCGGGGCTCCCACATGCATGCGGGGACCCAAGTACTGGGGCCGTCACCCACTGCCTTCCTAGGCGCACGGGCAGGACACTGCACAGAAGTGGAGCAGCCGGCACCCACGTGGGAGACTAGGAAGAGGCTCCTGGCTCCTGGCTCCGGATTGGCCCAGCTCCAGCCTTTGTGGCCATTTGGGGAGTGAACCAGCGGATGGAAGACCTCTCTCTCTCTCTCTCTCTCTCTCTCTCTCTAACTACTCTGCCTTTCAAATATATAAGTGAATCTTAAAAAACAAACAAAGAGTCCGGCGCCGCGGCTCACTAGGCTAATCCTCTGCCTGCAGTGCCGGCACCCCGGGTTCTAGTCCCGGTTGCTCCTCTCCCAGACCAGCTCTCTGCTGTGGCCCGGGAGTGCAGTGGAGGATGGCCCAAGTGCTTGGGCCCTGCACCCCAAGGGAGACCAGGAGAAGCACCTGGCTCCTGGCTTCACAGTGGCCATTGGAGGGTGAACCAATGGCAAAAAGGAAGACCTTTCTCTCTGTCTCTCTCATTGTCTACTCTGCCTGTCAAAAAGAACACACACACACACACAAAAAAAAAAAGGAAAAAAAAAAAAAAGAAAAAACCACAGGGGTGGGGGGAGCAGCCTGGACTTGAACGGGCACTCAGAAGGGATGCTGGTGTCACAGGGAGCGGCTTAGCCTGCTGCACCACAACACTGGCCCCACATCATTTTTTTTTTTTTTAATTTTACAGGTAGAGCACAGCAGAGAGCTGGACTGGAAGAGGAGCAACCGGGACTAGAACCCGGTGTCCATATGGGATGCCGGCGCCGCAGGCGTAGGATTAACCAAGTGAGCCACGGCGCCGGCCCCCAGCGCCCACATCATTGTTTTTAAGCATTTTTTTTGCTTTACTCTCTTTTTTTTAGGGGGACGGGGGGTGTACTGGTCCAGGCTGAAGCCAGGAGCCTGGAGCTCCATCTGGGTCTCCCACGTGGATGCAGGGGCCCAAGGACTTGGGCCATCTTCCACTGCTTTCCCAGGCCACAGCAGAGAGCTGGATCGGAAGAGGAGCAGCAGGGACTTGAGCCGGCGCCCATTTGGGATGGGCTTTCTCCGCTCCGCCACAGCGCTGGCCCCTAGAGATACTGTCTTGAGGCAGGTGTTTGGCCACTCAGACACTGATGTAATAACCGCCTTCCGCTCTTGAGCCCTGCCCGAGCTGCTACCGACACCGACACCGACACCGGGAGGCAGCGGTGCTGGTTCAGGGATTGGGTTACAGCCACCGCCCGGGCAAACCGGGATGATGTTCCTGGCTTGTCTTTGGACCCAGCCTGGGCCATCGTGGGCATCTGGGGAGTGAGACAGTCATGGGAGATCTCTCTCTGTCTCCCAGAGAATTTCCTCTGTGAATCTCCATCCAGAGATGATCTGGGAGCCTGCTACTTAATTTCTATATATTTGGGGGCCGGCACTGTGGCACAGTGGGTTAACGCCCTGGCCTGAAGCGCAGGCATCCCATATGGGCACCGGTTCAAGACCTGGCTGCTCCACTTCCAATCCAGCTCTCTGCTATGGCCTGGGAAAGCAGTAAAAGATGGCCCAAGTCCTTGGGCCCCTGCACCCACGTGGGAGACCCGGAAGAAGCTCCTGGCTCCTGGCTTCGGATCGGCACAGCTCCAGCCATTGTGGACATCTGGGGAGTGAACCATCGGATGGAAGACCTCTCTCTCTCTGTGTAACTCTGACTTTCAAATAAATAAATAAATCTTTAAAAAAATTTCTATATATTTGGGCTTTCGATAGCTTGATGATTATTAAAAATAAAGACTTCACTTATTTTTATTTATTTGAAAAGATGAACATGGGGCCGGCACTCTGGCTCAGCAGGTAAAGCCGCCAGGTGCAGCACCAGTTCCAGTCCCGGCTGCTCCACATCCAACCCAGCTCCCAGCTAATGCGCCTGGGAAAGCAGTGGGAGATGGCCTAGGTCCTTGGGAGAGTTCGATCTTCCATCCACTGGTTCACTCCCCAAAGGGCCACCATAGCCTGAACCAGCAGTCAGGAGCTCCATCCGGGTCTCCCACGTGGGTGCAAGGGCCCCAGGACTCAGGCCACCTCCCACTGCTTTCCCAGGCCATAGCAGAGAGCTGGACTGGAAGTGGAGCATCCAGGACTCGAACTGGTGCTCTGACATGGAGCAGGCATTGCAGATGGCGGCTTAGCCCTCTGCGCCACAACGCCCGCCCCCAGCAACACCTGTGCCTGAATTCTTCACCAGCACAGCCAAGGGGGCAGGACAGCCCCGCGTCAAAGCGTGTGTCAGGGCTAACACGTCCGTCTGGCGCTACAGAAGCTGGACTTGGTGCTGGCCTTTGTCTCGCTCACGAGACATCTGTCGAAACCATGAAGGCAAAGGAAGGGGCCATAGGCACCTTGGGCAGGAGATTGCGATGAGAAAAACAGACACCAAGACCCGGGGCAGCAAAGGTGGGGTGCAAGCTGCTCTGGGTAAAAAGCGACCCTGAAAGCACCCGTATTGGGGTGCAGGAGGGGGCACAGCTGCTCACCCACCTCCCACTTGGGAGCGGCAGTTCCAGTCCCGGCTGCTCCACTTCCCACCCAGCTCCCTGCTCATGTACACGCTGGGAGGCAGCAGTGAGGGCCCAAGTCCCTGGACCCTAACGCCCATGTGGGAGGCCCAGATGGAGCTCCTGGCTCCTGGCTTCAGCCTGGCCCTGTTGTGAGTATTTGGGGAGTGAACTGGATAGACGAGCTCTCTTTTTCTTTCTGCCTTTCAAATAAATAAATAAGTCTTTTTAAAAACACACACAAACATGCTGAGGAATTCGGAGAGCAGGACGCAGGCACAGAACAGACCCAAGAAGACCCTAAGTTGTGACCTCTCCCAGCGCAGCAGGAAGCGAGAGCTAAGGCAGAGCTGCACAGCCTGGGCGAGGCTGGATACGTCCTCTTCATCTTTCTCTTCTCTTTTTTCCCCCCTTCTGCCAAACAAAGAATTCAAGCATTGCAACAACAAAAAGACCAAAAAAAAAAAAAAAACCAGCAAGCAAATGAGAAGACACTGGGGGAGAGAGAGCTGTTCCTAGAGTTATATCCACGAGCTGCTTGAATCTGTTGTCCCTGTATCAGCATCGTTGCACAAGGACCTTCCTGTTCACACCCACTGGGAGGACTTAGAGTAAAAGCAAAACAGAAAAGGACAAAGGCTGTGAGGATGGGAGGAGGCAGAGACCACACACGTGGGTGACCACAGCCACAGGGAAAGGCCATGGTAGTTCCTCTGAGAGTTACACAGCGAATGGCCACGTGATGTGGCAACTCCACTGCAGGCCCACGCCCTGAACCAGCCACAGGCAGAGCCGCAGCGGAGGGAGGGCGACTGGGCTCTGCTCCTGGCTCTGGCTCCCTGCTGATGCGCACCCTGGGAGGCGGCAGTGAGGGCCTGGGACCCTGCCACCCGCCTGGGGGACCTGGATGGACTCCTGGCTCCTGGCTTTGGCCTGACCCAGCATGGACCACTGAGAGCATCTCTCTCTCTCTCTCTGTCTCTCTCTCCATTTTTAAAAGATTTATTTGAAAGAATTACAGATGAGAGGCAGAGGGAGAGAGGGAATGGGAGAGGGGGAGAGGGAGAGGGAAGGGGAAGGGGGAGAGGGGGAGGAAGAGGAGGGAGGGAGGAGGGGGGGAGGAAGAGGGGGAGGGAGGGGAGAGGGGGAGGGGGAGAGGGGGGAGGAAGAGAGGGAGAAGGGGGAGGGAGGGGGATGGGGGAGATTGTCCATCTGTTCAATCCCCAAATGGCTACAACGGCCAGGGCTGGTCTCCCACGAGGGGGCAGGGGCCATCTTCTGCTGCCTTCCCACGCCGCGGCAGAGCTGGGTCAGAGGTGGAGCAGCCAGGACTCCATCTTGCACCCATAAGGGATGCCGGCACCACAGGTGGCGGCTTTACCTGCTACGCCACAACATTTGTCCCAAGATCTCTCTCACTACCTTTCAAATAAATAAATGAAAAAAAAATTAAAGGAAGCAGATACTGACACAGACACACAGAGACACACATGTTCATTGTGGCATTAGAATCAGCAGGAGGTGCAAACAACCCAACTGTCCATCGGGTGATGCACAAACACGCTGTAGCACACAGATCCAAGGGAATAGTACGCAGCCAGGAAAAGGAGTTACAGTGACCAGTTACACAGGGATGAAACACGGAAGCCAGACACCGCACCACTCTACTGATACAGGGTCCGGAGAGAGGGAACGCAGGGCACTGCTGGTTCCCAGAGCCTGGGGCGGCTGAGGGGGGCCTGGGGAGGAGGAGGGCCTGCTGGGTGAGTGAGCTCGCCACTGAGATGTCTGCTTTAGAACGGCTAGTCTCTTTTTTAATTTTGGGGCTGGTGCCACAGCTTAGCAGGTAAACCTCTGCCTGAAGCGCTAGCATCCCAAGTGGGCGCTGGTTCGAGTCCCAGCTGCTCCACTGCTAATGCCCCTGGGAAAGCACTGGGAGACGGCCGAGTGCTCGGGCCCCTGCACCCACGTGGGAGACCCCGATGGAGCTCCTGGCTCCTGATTGGCTCAGCTCTGACCGCCATTTGGGGAGTGAACCAGCGGATGGAAAACTTCTGTGTCTCTCCGTGTCTCTGTAACTCTCCCTCCCAAATAAATAAATCTTTAAAAAAATGTCTCCGCCCTGCATCAGAGCAGCTGGGTTTGAGCCCCCGCTCCGGCCAGTGCAGACGCTGGGGTGCAGCTCAGGTAAGGGGTCCCTGGGGCCTGCGGCTGTGCCTGCAGTGCCTGCAGCCCGCCAGAGGGCGGGGACCACCAGGGCGGCTCCGGCTAAGGCCTGGGAAGGCAGCAGAGGGCGCCAGCACTGGGCTGGGCCTCCCACCGGAGCCTGCGAGGAGTCCCTGAGTCCCTGAGCCCGACCCAGCTCTGCGGTGCGGACCTGTAGGGAGTGAGGAGCACACAGGCCTCTCTGCCTGGATCTGCCTTCCTAAGGGATACATGGAAAACACACAGACACACACACACACACACACACAGAGACACAGACGCACACAGACACGGAGACACAGACACACACAGACATACACACACAGACACGGAGACACACACACAGAGACACAGACGCACACAGACACGGAGACACAGACACACACACAGATGCACACCGACACAGAGACACAGACACACACAGAAACACACACGCACACACACACAGATGCAGACATACACACACAGACACACACAGACAGAGACGCACACACAGCAGCTGGGCCCTGCACCCACGTGGAGACCTGGATGGAAACTCCCCACTTCTGACCCAGCCCTGGCCGTGGTGGGCGTTTGAAGAACAAACCAGCAAACTGAAGCCCTCCCCCTCCCCTCCCCCTCCCTCCCTCCTACCCTCGCTCTCCCCCTCCCTCCCTCTCCCCTTCCCCCCCACCCCCTCCCTCTGTCGCTCTCCGCCCTCCCACCCCCTCCCTTCCTCTCCTCCCTCCCTCCCTCCCTCTCCCTTTCAAATAAGGCTGTTTATTTTTTTTTTAACGAAACACTATCACCTCCCCAGTGTTAATGGAGAAGGTAAGCTTGTGAGTCCTGAGTTTCATGGCATTTAATGCCCTCTAGGGAGCCGCCGCCTGCGGTGCCGGCATCTCATGTGGACGCCGCCGGTTCGAGTCCCGGCTGCTCCACTTCCGGTCCAGCTCTCTGCTGTGGCCCGGGAGTGCAGTGGAGGATGCCCAGGTCCTGGGGCCCCGCACCCGCGTGGGAGACCCGGATGGGTCTTTAAACCCGTTAAAAGGGGAGTGGGGCATCACCCCCCCCTGCTCCTCGGCCCTGTGCCCTGTGACGCCCGCAGCCCCAGCCCCAGCCCCCTGCCCGGGTGGCCCCCGGCCCCGCCCCGGGGAGTGACCAGTGGACAGAGCGCTGTCGCTCAGGTCACCCAGGAGAGGTCCCCGGGCCACTCAGGGAGGTGGCCCTCGGGCCGGCCAGGGCAGGTGGACGCGTGACTGACAGGCGATTCTTCCCGCGGGGTCCGCGCCCAGCGCAGAGCTCCCCCCGCAGCCCCAGGCCCCCCACCCCGTTTCGCAGATGGGGAAACTGAGGCTCGACGGACCCGGGCAGGGGGCGGGCTGGACCTGGCTTTGCACCTCAACTTCTCGCCTGACTACAGCACTCGAGACCCAGGAGATGGAGCTGCGGCCCCGGTCCTCCAGGTCCCGACCCCCGTGTGGGCCTTGCTTCGCCCCGCTCCCACGGCTGCCTGACGGCGTGGCTGTGCCATCGGCTCCAACCACATCCGGGGCTACCGAGAAACGGGCCAGCTCCCAGGGCCCCAAGGGAGTGAAATTTGGCCTTCGAGGGCGGGACCCCAAAAACTCGAGGGAAACCGGAAGCTTCTTAGACCAAAGGGTTTCCATCGCGCCGCAGCTGAACCATTTTAAATTCCCGCCCTAAGGGTCGCACGCAGGGCCACGCCCAGACGCTATTTTGGGTTCGCTCCCGCCGGAGAAGATGGCGCCAGGGTCTTGGCGCGCGGTGTCCTCTGGGAAAGACACGGGAGGGGGGCCGTAAAAGGACCCGGCCGCCTCCACTTTAGTTGTCTTAACTTTTGCCTGAGAAAGATTCTCTCTCAGGCCTTCGCCCCACTGCCCCCGAGAGGAACCCTAGAACCGGAGGTCTTTCAGAAAATGGCCGGCGGACGGCTTGCGTTTCCCGGTCCATCAGGCATTCACTCGGGCAGCTCGTCCCCCCCCGGGGATCCTTCCCTCCTGGCTGCCAATGAGCTCCGCCGACTTAGCAAAGGGGGCAGGGCTAGTCCTTAAAGGAGCCGCGACCCATTAGCAGACCAGAGGGTGACCCGAATGATGGCGGCCGGCGCGGTCCTAGCCTTAGCCCTGTGGCTACTACTGCCGCCAGTGGGAGTGGGAGGGGCGGGACCCCCACCGATCCAGGACGGCGAGTTCACGTTCCTACTGCCCGCGGGGAGGAAGCAGTGCTTCTATCAGTCGGCACCGGCCAATGCAAGCCTCGAGACCGAGTACCAGGTAAGAGGGGTCCCCAGCCCTGGGATAGCGGGGCCAGGGACTGGGGGCGTGGCCAAGAGGACTGCAAGGGGTGCATTCCAGGGGAAAGGGGGAGGAGCCTGCGCGTGGGCGTGGGGGCGGGGAGCTGGAGAGGCCCGCCCCGGGGGCGTGGCTACGGCGAGACAGACAGCCGGAGGGGCGGGGTTGGCGCGCAGCCGCGAGGCTGCGATTTCCCGAGTGGGCGTGTCCGGGGTGGGCGGTGCTGCAGAAAGGGGCTTGGCCTCTCGTAAATCAATCAACCGCGTGGGGGCGTGGCCAGAGGAGAGACTCCGCAGCCTGCAGCCGTCCTGTCCCTCGGAGTGGAGGGAAGGTGGGGGCCGCGGACAGCGGGGCCGCTGTGGACGGGGTCGCGGGTGGTGCGCGCGGGTCCGAGCGCGCTGGTCTCGCTCGCTGTTCCTGCGGCAGGCGCCCTTGGCCCGGCGCGGCCCCTCCATTGGCTCTTACCTGCCCCCCGCAGGTGATCGGCGGTGCTGGGCTGGACGTGGATTTCACGCTGGAGAGCCCTCAGGGCGTGCTGTTGGTCAGCGAGGCCCGCAAGGCCGACGGCGTGCACACGTGAGTGCGGTCCTGCCACCTGCGCTGGCTTCGGTTACAGCCCCGCCCCTCCCCCGGCGGCCTCGGGTTACCGGCCGGCCACGAAGGGTCGTGTCTGTGTGCCCAGGGTGGAGCCCACGGAGGCGGGCGACTACCGGCTGTGCTTCGACAACTCGTTCAGCACCATCTCCGAGAAACTCGTGTTCTTCGAGCTGCTCTTCGACAGCTGGCAGGATGACGAGGAGGCCGAGGGCTGGGCCGAGGCCGTGGAGCCGGAGGAGATGCTGGACGTGAAGATGGAGGACATCAAGGTGCGTCCAGGCCGGGGGCGGGGGGCAGCGGTGCACCGGCCGCCCCTGCTCATAACGCGGGCAGGAGCAGCTTGGGCAAAATAACAGTCCCTGTGCAGGGCTGCTTTTTTAAAATATTTTATTTATTTGAAAGGCAGAGTTACAGAGAGGCAGAGGCAGAGAGAGAGAGGTCCCTCCCCAAATGGCTGCAACAGCTGGGGCTGGGCCAGGTGGAAGCCAGGAGCTTCCTCCCGGTCTCCCCCGTGGGTGCAGGGGCCCAAGGCCTTGGGGCCATCTTCCGCTGCTTTCCCAGGCACCTTAGCAGGGAGCTGGATCGGAAGTGGAGCAGCCGGGACTCGAACCAGCGCCCGTACCGGGTACGGGATGCCTGCACAACGCGGGTTCCCCCCATGTAGGTTTTAACGGCTTAGGTAACACGTATCAAAAATAGCTCATACATTTGCATAACTGCGCCATGGTCCTGTGCCCCCTTGTCCATCACAGCCGGAAACACTGGCACCTCTGGCTTAGGTAACCCACCCAGAGCCACACGGCTACCACCGGGCAGAGACGGTAACTGCAGCCACCCAGCCTGGCTTTGTCGTCACGAGGCTAACGTCCGGTTACTTAGGCATTCGATTTCCACAGCCACTGTGAGGTGTACAGAGGAGGAAGGTGCCGCAGGTCCAGAGAGGTTGTTCCCTGGCGCATGGACGCACAGCCTGCGGCAGGGTCCGTGCTTAGCCGGCCGTCCCGGCCTGCCCCAGGCCATTGGGCTGTGCCTCGCCCCCCAGGCCCGTGGCCTGACCCCGCGCCCTCCGTGCCTCGCAGGAGTCCATGGAGACCATGCGGACGCGGCTGGAGCGCAGTATCCAAATGCTGACCCTGCTGCGGGCCTTCGAGGCGCGCGACCGCAACCTGCAGGAGGACAACCTGGGGCGCGTCAACTTCTGGTCGGCGGTCAGCGTGGCCGTGCTGCTGCTGGTGGCCGCGCTGCAGGTCTGCACGCTCAAGCGCTTCTTCCAGGACAAGCGCCCCGTGCCCACGTAGCCCTGAGCCGGGAACGGGCTTGTGTGCATGCGCCGCGGGGGTCCCTCCCCCCCAACCACAGTCGGGGCCTGGGGCTGGCCTGGCAGGACGGACCGCGGCTGGCTTGCCGGCCTGGGCCCCCCGGAAAGGGCCGCTGCTCCTGGACCGTGCGTTCTGGCCTTGGCCTCATTCGTGGTGGCGCTGGGACCGTGGCGGCCGCCCTCGGATCTCTGGCCCCTCGCTGTCCGCTGTGCCTTAGTCCACGTCTTCCAGCCCGCATCGGCGCTGCCCAGGAAGCCGGCCTGCCCTCACCCCCTTTGCCGGCTGGGGTGGGGACCCCGCGCCCGCCTTTCTCCCCGAGGCTGGGGAGGACTGGAAGGAGACACGCCCGCAGAGTCGCTGTCAGAGGGTCACTTTATTCCACAGGAAGGGGGTGGGCGGAGCCAGCGCACTGGGCCTTGCACGCCCACCCCACTGCCCTCGTCCTGCGGGGGCCCCAGTCGGGGCTGAGGGGCAGCTCGGCCGGAGCCCACACAGGAGCCTCCCGCGCGCGCGGGCCCGGGCAGCAGAGTCAATAAATTATGGTCAGAAAACGCCAGAGCCTGGTGACGGGCTCGGCGACACGGGCCGGGACAGGCCTGCCCCTGGGAGGCAGCCGGGCTCCCACGACGCTCAGAAGAAAGGGCGGGCGGGAGCCGATGGAGGTGGTCGCCTGGGCACAAGAAAAAACCAGAGAGCAGAGTTGAACGGCGCTGGCCACCTGGCTGCGGCGCGTGCCCGCGCTCTGGCCCCACCCCTTGATGGGGGGCCGGGTGGCCCTCCTGGAAGGAGCCACCCTGCCCAGAGCAGAGCGCCCAGCGAGTGAGAGGCGGGCGTCCCCGCAGCCGGAGCGCACACACGAGGCCCACACAGCCGCCAGAATGTTCTTCCCTTTATTAAGTTTATTCATAGGTACAGACTGCAGGCACTTTCAGTGGCCACCCCAGGCCGGCGGGGCTGACCCCCCACAGCCTCCCTGACCCCCAGGGTCCCGAGCCTCAGGCACCCTGGGGACCCGGGGGGAGCAGGGGGCCGGTGCGCGCTGAGGTTCCGGCCCGGCAAAGGCACCGCTGGCGGCCGAGGCGGGGCAGGCGCTTAAGGAGGCCCTGGAAGGAGTGGGCGGCGCCGGCCGGAGGCGGACATATGCTGGGACGGCCGGGGGCCCCCCTTCTCAATGGCGCCCTGCGGCCCCTGTCCCCAAAGTGCAACCGCCCCGGGGCCCGAACAGCCCGGGAGGGGGCGGAGTTCAGGAGGAGGCAGGGGCTGGCTTAGGGGCGCAGGGGGGCCCAGGCCATTGGAGCTCCTGAACCCCGAAAACGCGCCCCCCACAGCCTAGTCGAGCAGGGACGGCTCGGCCGGGCGGATAATGGTGGGCCGGTTGGGCGCCGCGGGGGGTCTTCTGCTGCAAAGAGAATAAAGACAGACGGGGAGGGGAGGGGGCGGCGTGAGGCATGGCAGGGACGGGACCCCGCCCCCCCGCTCCGGGTGCCCGGCTGCACCCCCCGCCGACCCCTGTGCTGTGTGTGACGCGGGTGCGTTCCCTGGGGAGCCTGCGCGATGGGGGGCTGGGGCTGGGGGCTGCGGGCCTCACCTGGGCACGCCGGGGGGGATCCCGGGGGGGATCCGCGCTGGCCGAGATGGGATCTGAGGCGGGGCCGAGAAGGGGTCGTTGTTGGCGAAGACGCTCTGGGGGCCGGGCCGGGACGGGATGGGGGGCGCGGAGAAGGCGGCTGCCGCCCCCACGGGCACGGGAATCAGGGGCGGCCCCGGCGTGGGGCCCCTCACGGCGGGGGGCCGGCCTGGCGGGTGCACGCTGGACACGGGCCGGCGCTGTGGGGTGGGGCTGCGGGCGAGAAGGCGGACAGGCCGTGAGCTGGGGGCTCCTCCCTCCGCCCCGCCCCGCCCCGCCCCCAGCCGCCGGGCCGCACCTGTGACTGCTGGCAGTCTGCAGCCAGGTGTCGTCGACGGGCGGGGGCACGGGCGTGGACACGGTGCTGGTGCTGATGTCGCCGATGATGTTGAGGGCCTCCTTGAGCGCGTGGTACATGCGCAGCATGTCGTCGCGCCGCTGCGCCTGGTCGGCCGACTCCTCCATCAGGCTGCCCTGGTCGGCCGCCGAGTACAGGTAGGCCAGCAGCTCGTGGTGGATGAAGGCCTTGGTCTGCGGGGCGGGGGCGGGGTCAGGCCGCGGGGGCAGGGCCAGGCCGCTGGAGGGGCGGGGCCAGGCTGCTGGAGGTGGGCCGGGCCAGGGTGTAGGGGCGGGGCCAGGCCGCGGGGCGGGGCCAGGCGAGCCCCTCTGTCTTACAGTGTGTCCTAGGGGCACCAAGTTTCAAGTTTCCGGACTATGGAATGAAAGGCATGAGTTTATTTTGGCAAAAAGCCTTTTGAAATCCCCACCGTTTTCCTGTTCCAAAATGAACTCAGACCTTTAATTCGGTCTTTCCGTGCACTTTTTGGTGCGTATTTTATTTTCATCTTCGTGACAGGCAGAGTGACAGAGACAGAAGAGAGAGGTCTTCCATCCCCGCCTCTCTCCCCAAATAGAGGGCCAGGCCAGGCCAGGCCAGGCCAGAGCCAGGACCAGGAGCCGGGTCAGAAGTGGGGCGGCCGGGGCTCGAACCGATCCCGTGGGGGATGCAGGTGGCACAGGCAGAGGCTTCGCCCGCTCCGCGGCCGCCTTACACATGTGCACAGCCCCTTTCTTACACTGATGGTGTCCCTGTGAATCCCTGCCTCGGGTGAACACATCTTCTCAAACAATGCACTGGCAGGTGGGGACTGCCTGCAGGACGCCCGTGTGTAAGCACGCGCCTCCCTCTGCAGGGCCCGCGTGCGTGCGTGCGTGCGTGCGTGTGTGGGTGAGAAGCGCTGGGGAGAACGAGGCGAGGCCCCTGTGTGCACTGCCGCTGCACAGTTGCAGAGGGGCCTCAGGGTGCCGTGGATAAACGTGGCTTATTTGGGTGCCAAAATAAATAACTCTTTCCAAACAGGGTCTTCAAAAGGCTCGAGGGGCATGCGCGTTAAGGGAGCGGTGCGCCTGCTCAGCCCTCACCAGGAGCAGCCCCGGTGCTCGGGGTCCCTGGGGACAGCCGGGAAGGGGGGGCTTCAGCTGCCCAACCTAAGGGCAGGGGCGGACACGGGCTCAGCCTGGGTGGAAAACCCCACTTCTAGGTATAGCTGCCACCTGCAGTGCCAGCATCCCATATGGGCGCCGGTTCGAGTCCCGGCTGCTCCACTTCCCATCGAGCTCTCTGCTGTGGCCTGAGATAGCATTGGAGGATGGCCCAGGTCCTTGGGCCCCTGCATCCTCGTGGGAGACCCGGAGGAAGCTCCTGGCTTTGGGTTGGCCTAGCTCCAGCCATTGCAGCCATCTGGGGCATGAACCAGCGGATGGAGGGTCTCTCTCTCTCTCTCTCTCTTTCTTTCTTTCTCTCTCTCTCTGCCTCTCAGTAACTCTGCCTTTCAAATCAATCAGTCAGTCTCGGGGGAGGTTCCTTGACCTGTCTGGGCTCGACTTTCTGGCTGTGGCCTGGGCCGCTCTTCTCTCTCTCTTTGGCTCTCTGTCTCTCTGATTGATTTATTTGAAAGGCAGAGTTACAATCTCGGGGAGGTTCCTTGACCTGTCCGGGCTCGACTTCCTGGCTGGCCTGGCCGCTGAGGCCGCTGGCCGGGGCACTCACGCTGTTGATCATGAGGTGCATGATGGTCTTTGGCATGAGGTCGCGGATGGACTTGTTGATGATGGCCACGTACGAGTCCACCAGGTTGCGGATGGTCTCCACCTGCCGCTCCAGCTGCGGGTCCATGGAGAAGGTGTTCTCCTGGGCCCCGTCCTCGTTCTCCGCCTGCAGGTGGGGGAGCGGCAGTGAGGGCCGAGCGCCCCGGGCCAGACCCTCCCGGCTCCTGGGAACGCCAACAGGTTCATTTGGGGACGTGGCCTCAAGGACAGGGAGACAGCATCCCCTTCTGTGTGCATCCCGGGCTTGCCTTCAGTTCTAGAACGTTCTGCGCCGCCGCCCCTGAGCGGGCCCCGTACCTGGTCCTTCTCGGGGTAGACGCCGGCGCGCAGGAACGAGGCCTTCCAGCTGTCCACGTCCTCCTGGGAGTCACAGGCCAGCTCGATCTGCCGCAGGTCCTTGTAGACGTTCCTGGGGCGGCAAGGAGGCGCGTGACCGCGAGGGCTGGGCTCTGGGCTCTGCTGGTCTGGGCTCACATCCAAGCTGGGGCCGGCGCTGGCGCACGGCTGGTTAAGCCGCTGCCTGCCATGCCAGCATCTCACATGGGCGCAGGCTCAAGAAGTGGCTGCTCGACTTCCGATCCAGCGCCCTGCTAGTGCACTTGGGAAGGCAGTAGAAGATGGCCCGAGTGCTTGGCCCTGCACCCCCGTGGGAGACCCGGATGGAGCTCCTGGCCATTGTGGCCATGGCGGAGTAAACCAGCGGCTGGGAGCTCTCTCCCCTTGCCCCGTCACTCTGCCTTTCAAATAAATCCATCACTCTCAAAAACAAAACAGCTGGGTCCTGTGAATGGGCCTGCACCTGCTCCTGTTCCTGCTACGCTGTCAAGGGCCAGGCCCAAGTTCAAGAGTCGAATTTGTGGCTTTCCGCTCATGCTGGCCCAGCCGACGCCTCTCCTTCCCTGGGATCCACCTGCCCCCCCGCCCGTGTGCCTCGGTGGGGGCCAAGGTCATTGCCAAGCCTCCCGAGGTGGGCACATGCCCCACAACACCCTGGCCCAGCGGGGAGCTGCCACTGAGGTGTTTTTCAGGAAGCCCAGAGCAGCGCTGTCCACCCGAACTTATGATGGAGGGAGTGAGCTTTTTGTCTCACTTCAGTGGCACGGCCCACGGGGGCGAGGGATGGGCCCGGCCTCTGGACAGGTTTTGCACAGCTGTGGGTTGGTGACAGGGGGAAAGGGAAGAAAATTAACAAGTACAGAGAAAGAGGAAGGCAACTTTGTAACTGAAGCTGTGTCCTGGAAGACTGTGCACCCCCCAGTACTCAGCCAATGGGGACCTGGGGGGGGGGCTGCGTGCCTGCTCATCAGTACTCAGCCAATGGGGACCTAGGGGCGGGGCCTTCGTGCCTGCTCTCATCAGTACTCAGCCAGTGGGGACCAGGGGCGGGGCCTGCGTGCCTGCTCATCAGACACCTGATCTCCCGGCTCGGGCACTGCCCAGAGCAGACAGGTGGGGGCATTCCCGCACACAAGCAGATGGCTACTTTGTTTCTGGGTTTCCTGAACTCCTGAATGACACATCAGGTCATGGCCTGTCCTGCTGAGGGGGGCACCGGGCTCAGGGCGGAGGGGTCAGCTGTCGGGAATGCTGGGACCAGCCGTGCACTGTGGCCACTCACACGGACCCAGCGGCCTCTGCTGACCGCTGAGCTCTGTGGCCCGTAGGCCTTGGTTCCTGATGAGGGCCCCGCCCGCTCGCCTGACCTCCAGACTGAATGCTGTGGAGGCAGTGACTCCTCCCGGGCCCCACCCCTGCCCAGATGCCCACAGCCTCCTCCCCCCAACCCCTGTGACCTCTCCCCCACGCATGGCCCCAAACCTGCTGCCGACTGCCCAATGACCCTGCCTCATTTTTCCCATCTCTGCCGATGGCGGCTACAGGCCCAAATCCCCAAGGTCACTGTCCATGTCTCCTTTCTCTCTGGCACCCAGAATCCATCCTGTCTTCCCCACGTCCTCGGACCAGCCCAGTTTCCACTGCCCTGTGATCCCCGCCACAGCCATCAGAGGGCGCCGGTGAGCATCCGAGCCAGGCCCTGTCCCTGCTCTGCCCAGAACCCTCGGTGGCTCCCCAGGCCCTGGCGGTCTCCCTGCACCCCCGTCTCAGCGCAGAGAGGCGTCAGCGGCACCTGCAGTGTCTTCCTGCTCCTCGCCGACTCCCTCTGTAGAACGCGAGAGCCCGGGGCGGGCCGCGGGCCTCACCTCTGCTCCGTGTTGAAGATGGCGAACACGTGCTTGTTGGACATGAAGCCCTTCTCCACGTCGCGGATTTTGAGGTTGTCCAGAGGCAGCATGTACTTCTTCTCCTTTTCCTGAGGATGCAAGCGAGGAGTCACCCGGGGCCCTGACGTGACCCCAGGGCGCCCTGTGCCGCCGCCAGCACAGCCACGCACCTGCTCCAGGGCCTCTGCCTGGGACGCTGCCCCACATCCGGGCACAGGGGACCTTCCTGGACTCCTCCCCACGCACCGCTCACAGAACCCCACCCACCACGGACCTTGTCTTATGCACGGACAGGTGTCCCCCACCTGGACTGGAGGGCGGGGGCTCCCATCCCTGTTTCAACCCTGGCAACCCTCACACAGGGAGTTCTCACATTCTAAGCTGTCACTCGACGGAGGGGACGGACAGCGACCTAGGCTGTTTCCACGACAAGCATCATGCACCCATTTCACGGTGGGGTAGACTGAGGCACAGAGGGGGACAGGGCTGTGGCTTCGTGGGTGACCCCAGAGCTGGAAAAAGCCCCATTCAGGAAGGGCCACCCACGTGCCAGGCCTGGAAGCCCCCACTGCTGAGGCGGGCAACCCCTCCAGTGCCACGGCCACTGCTCCTTGGAGCAGTTACATGGAGAGGGCGGGAGACCACACGTAACCCGCAGCCGCAGCCGCAGCCGCCCCCAGTGCCCAGTGCCAGGCTCTGCCCGCATCAGCTCAGAGAGGCAGGTGGGTGCTGGCCAGGAGTCTCGGGCAGGCTGGGCCCCAGGCTCAGAGAGGGACGCTGGCTGCCCAGGGCCACACAGCAGGTGGCCAGGCCCGTCTGACACAAAGCCAAGTTCTCTGTCCACGCCGCACCCCCAGGGCCTTTCTCCACCACGTGGGCTTCCAGACTCGTCACGTGCCTCCCCCCTGCTGCTGCAAGGGCCCAGAAAGAAATCCAACACAGCCGCAGTGGGGTGGGGGGCGCCCGGCGGGGGCTCCTTGGCAGGTGGGTGCTGGCTCGAGGCTCGGGCATCTGTATGGGGCGTGGGGCAGGCTGGGCCCAGCTCCGTGACCTCAGGAGCCCTGCCTGGCGGTGGTCAAAGTCGGCTTTCCCTCTCTCTGCCTCCCGGGTCTTCAGTCAGAGGTGGGAGGTGCAGGCTGGGGGCGGGACAGGGTAGAGCGGCCATGGCAGTACAGGCACTCTTGCCCCCATGCAGGCTGGGGGCCAAGGGGTGGGTGGTGGCTCAGAAAGCACCAGGGGTCCCAGGCAAGGCCCGGGGATGCAGGGCCTGGGTCTCCCCAGCCTCTCAGGGAACAGCTTGTGGGGGCTTTGGCAGTGGCCAGGGCGGGGGCCTGTGCAGGCGCGTTTGTCCCTTGCCTGGAAGTTTCCAGAAGGGCCTCTGCGGCCCCCACCCTCGCGTGTCAAGAGGCAGGAAGCTTCCAGCCGGCCAGGCCAAGTCACTGAGTCACGGGCCATCGGGCCCAGCGCGAGACGCCACATCTGGAACTGTTTAGAGCCAGATCCTGCCCGGGACCAGGGCGGCTGCCTTGCTCAAGCCGACAGCACACACCACGCACACGCGAGCACGCGTGCACACGCGCAGAGGCATGCGTGCGCCCCTGCTCCCCGCCCCGGGGCCCCCAAAGACAGCTGCTCGGGTGCACAGAGGCCACCGACCCAAACCCTCCGTCCCGCCCCCGCCCCTCCCCCCGCCGTAGGATTTCCTGAAAACCCACAGCTCTCTCCAGATGCGCAGCGGCCCCAGCCCTGCCACGTCACAAGGAACCGAGGAGCGGCCGCACGGCGCGCGCACATGGCTGCAGCGCAGCGGGGGCCCCGCGGCCTGGGGCCCCGAGACAGCCGGCCCCGCCCGCCCAGTGTTCAGACTACCTGTTCAGGGGACTCCAGATGTGTACAGTAGTCTGCACATTGGTTAGGCTGGGCCCGGGCCAGCGGCACGACGGACGGCCCCCACCCCCGCCCCAGGTGAGTGTCACCTGCCACCAGCCTGCTTCCCGCTGCGGAGGGGACGAGACAGAAGGTCTGGAGCAGAGGAGGGGCGTGCGGGGTGGGGGGGGCTTGGGGAGAGCTGGGGGGTCCCGGGCCAAGCCCCTTCCCCACGGCAGGGAGCGTCCTTTGTTTGCTGAGAGCTCGCCACCCCCAGGCTGCTGCAGCGAGGTGGCAGGGGGCCCCGTGGGGGGGTCGCTCACTCGTGCGCCTGCCCCCCCGCCAGCTTTGTGTCGGGCACACACAGGCTGGGCCCTGCCGGGTGGTCACTTGTGCGCCTGCCCCCCCTCCCCCGCTTTGTGTGTGGGGCACACACAGGCCGCTTCCACAAGGCTGCTGGTTCTCATTCCCCGGGCGCCCGCCCCTCGGGCCCATACTCCCCCTGCCGCCGGTCTGGGGCCCTGAGGGAGGGCGGGGGCTCCCGCTTTGGCTCTCTGGATGCAGGGAGACTGAAGGGGCCCCTGCGCAGGTGAAATCCAAGGGGCCCTGAACCCCGGGCTTCTGAGGCCACCACACGGGGCACCGCCGGGCTGGGGTGGCCCAGGAGCCCAGCCCCCACTGCCCCGGGGAGCTCGGAAGACCCCCACAGCCCTGAGAGCAGCCCCCGCGCACCCGGCAGCTGCTGCGTCCAAGGCAGGCGCGTTCCCGACGGTGGGGGCAGGATGGGGGTGGGGGAAGGACCAAGGGTCACCCCGACCCCCCAGCCCGGCTATTTTGAGGAACCACTCTGATTCAGACTAGTGGGTTCCTCAAGGGGCTTGGGGCAGGGACAAGGCTGTGCCTGGTCTCGGTTCTAGAATGTTCCATGGGGACTCCAGACATGCACAGAGCACCTCAGACGGGGCCCCGCAGGTGGGGCTGGGGTTCCAGAAACTTCCTAGAGATGAGTGCAGCCCCACATGGGGGGGATTCCACATTTCACCCCAAACCTTACTGTGCTGGGGCTGGGCGGAGCACAGTGACTGATACGCAAGGGTGGGGCGTCCCTCGGGTCCACAGGCGGCACACCCGCACGCAGAGCCCTCCCTGGCTGTGACACAGGACAAGCCACTGCTCAGATCCTCGTTCCCTCACCTGACACACGGGGTGAGGACAGCCTCCCCCGGGGCATGAAGACTTCCGGAGAGGGGGCGGCCTTCCCAGAGCTGGGGCTGCTGGGAGGCCCCAGTGCCGGGCACAGCCAGAGCACCCCCAAACCATCTGGAGCAGGACAGCTGGGGGAGAACCTGACACGGCAAGTGACGCCACCGCCAGGGAGGCTGCATCCATCCCAGAATGCTGGGTTCAAGGCCCAGTCAGTCCACATTTCCGATCCAGCCCCCTGCTAATGCGCCTGGGAGGCGGCAGGTGGTGGCCCAACAGCTTGGGCCCCTGCACCCACATGGGAGACCCGGATGGAGCCCCTGGCTCCTGGCTTTGGCCTGGCCCAGCCCCGGCGGCTGTGGGCATTTGGGGAGTGAACCAGCAGATGGAAGATGTCTCTCTCTCTTTCTCTGTCCCCACCCCTCCTTCAAAGAAATACATTTGTAATAAACTACAAGGAGGCGAGCTGGGGGGAGGGGGTGCTTCGGGGGAAGCAGAGCCGCCTGGCCTTGCCCCTTAGGGTGCTGGGCCGTGGCAGGGGCTGTGCCATCGGGGGGGGGGGACCAGGGGAACTGCACCGCCCCTGTACTGGACAAGCAGGAAAGCCGCTGTGTGGCGAGGGCTCAAGGCCCGGGAAGGAGCTGGCCCTGGGCGCACAGCGAGATCTCCGGCAAAACCACTGTCGCCCTGAGCCCAACAGGGGGCGGCCGGGAGACTCAACGGAAGCCATCACCAGGGCAGCCACGCCGGCCTTCTGGGAGCTGGGGCGCACGCCGGCCACCAGGTTGCGAGACACGAGCAAGACACACCCATCCTGCCGGGAGCGCCTTCTCCGGGGCCTCTGTTCCAGACCCAAACCAGCAGCCGGGCTCACCGAGCCGAGGCCGGCTGAGAGCGGCACAGTGGCCCCAGTGTCACCCACGCTCCACTTCCAGGCCATTACAAAGACTGGGCAAGAACTGGGCTGGGCCCTGCGGCATGGCGCGGCGGGTTAAGGGGCTACCCGTAACACTGGCACCCTACACCTTAGCGCCGGCTTGAGTCCCGGCTGCTCCACTTCTGATCCAGCTCCCTGCTGTGGCCTGGGGAGGCAGCAGAAGATGGCCCACGTGCTTGGATCCCTGCACCCACGTGGGACACCCGGATGGAGCTCCTGGCTCCTGGCTTCAGCCTTGCTCAGAAATGGCCGTTGCAGCCATTTGGGGAGTGAACCAGCAGATGGAAGACCTTCTATCCCTGTCTCTCTAACTCTGCCTTTCAAATAAAGAGAATAAATCTTTTTTAAACTTAAAAGAGATGGTCCCATCAGGCGGGGAGGCTGGGCTGGTGCTGAGGAGGAGGGGCGGGGGCACTGCTCAGGCCCCGCCCACGGGCTACTGCAGCAGCCTACCCTGCGGGGCCCAGTCACTGTCACCCACCAGGACGCACACAGGTGGAATGTTCTAGAGGTTCCACACAGAAGGCAGGCACCACTCCACCCCACTTCACAGATAGGAAAACTGAGGCCCGAGAGGTTAAGGGCCTGGCTGCTTCCGTAGGGGACAGAACCCAGGACCCTGCAGCTTGGCCACAAACCTGAGGCCCCGTCCTTTGGCTGTGGCCCCCTCACTGCTGACCCTCCCACCCTGGCGCTCTGTCTCTCCGGGAGCCATCACGCCCGACCCCAGGGACCAGGAGGGACCCGGAGCCAGGCTCAGTGCAAGATGCTGGCTCCTGGTGGCAGCCCTCCTGTCCCGGCCCTTGAACCTGAGGCACAGTGGTGCCCAGAGGCCCTGGCAAATGCAAGAAGGGTGCCACGGAGAGGGGGCAGGTGCCACTCACCTCCTCGTCCTTGTACCAGGACAGCGACTCCGCCGTGAGCACGAACCAGTACTCCTTGGAGCCGCCCTTCATCAGGCTGATGTTGTTGATGGTCAGCCAGCCTCTGCGGATGACCTGGGGGGAGGCCGTGGGTCAGCAGGGCCGGCGCCGCGCCGCGCCCGCCCCCCAGCACGGCGTGCAGCGCCCTCGCTCCACAGCAGGCGCCAAGCCAGGGACCACCAGTGGCAGAGACACCTCGAGCCCGAAGCCAAGAAGCCCAACTCTGCCTACCCCGAGCCCTTGCCGCTGGAAACCGAGGCAGGGTGCCAGGGCGCGAGGGCCTGGACTGGTGGGGGACCAGGAATGTGAGATTATCATTGGGGGGGGTGTCAAACGTTGCCCGCTGGGCGTCGGGGCCAGGACTCGAACCTTGGCTTGTGTTGGGGGCCAGGGATGCCCTCAGCGCCAGACCCTCGGGCCCCTGCAAGGCGCTTCTCCCGGCCCACCCTGCTCAGGACCCGCCAGGGCTGGCACATAGGGCCCCACGCGGGCCCCACGCCCAGCATCAGCCTTCTGCTCTGGCAACACCCCAGGAGTCTGCGCTGGGGACCCCGCAGCCCTGGGACCCCTGCCCAGGGCCTCACCTGACGCTCACACACACCCCGCAGGCCAGAGGCTGCCCCCCTCCACCTGGACTGGGCTCCCCCGGGGGGCGGCGGGAAGCACACGGAGCCTGGGGCAGGGCCGCCTAGAGCCGAGGCAGCGACAGACAGGGCCAAGCAGTGGCGGGTGGGCTGCGCGTGGCCACAGACAGCTGGGGAGGGCCAGCGTGGGCCCCCAGGGCAGAGAGCGGTCGGGGCCGCTAGGGGTGGGTCTGGCTACAGTGCGCCTGAGGACTGAGGTGCCAGATGCCACCTGGTGACCCCAAGGCCAAGGGCATGGACTTCTCTGTCCCGGCTCTCGGGACTCCTGCAGCCAGCTGGGAGGCCGGCTCTTCCCAGTGCGTGCATGAAGGCGCTCTGTGGCCATCTCCCTGCCCAGGGACAGGAGGAGGAAGCCCCTGACTGTGGCCATACCACCAGCCAGTATCTGCAGGGCTACGAGGGCCACATTTGCTCTGCCAGTCAGTCAGGAGCCAAGGCAGGGAGCGTGAAGCGGGGAGGCGTGGCCTGCCCCGAGTCTGCCCAGACCTGGGCACATAGCAAATGCTCACTGGACCCTGGTGTAGGCACTGAGTGACAACAAGGGAAGGGCGACCCAGGGGACAGGCTGTCGGGGCTGTCCCCGAGGCAAGTCCTCTGCCGTCCCAGGCCCCGCTGGTTCCCAAGGGCACAGGCACACCCCAGCACCCCTCAGAGGCCAGCCCACGTACCGCCACCTGGGATGGGGGCCACCCAGGGACCCACATACCCGAGCCACGAGAGCACGTGCCCCCAGGCGCCCTGCCCAGGCCACCCAGAAAGCTATCTGTGCAGGACCCCCCACCGAAGGCTGAGACAAGAGCCCAGGCCGGGAAGCTGCAAGCCGAGAGCGGCCGCCACAGGTGCCAGGCAGACACAAGGGGGGTGGATCCTCCCCCAACTGCCCGACAGTGCCCAGGGGTCCACTCCCAAGGGACCGACATCGCAGGACTTAGGGGTGGCGAAGGCAACAGAGGAGGCAGGCAGCAGCGCTCCCCCACGTGGTCCAGGGCGCACAGTGACAGGCGGGCAGGGGCGGCAGGCCAGAAGCGGCACAGCTGGGGTGGAAGGCGGGCTGGGCTGGCCTCGTCCCCACGCAAGGGTCCCGGCCAGAGCCGGGCACACTGGGGTGGAAACTACGGCTGGAGACAGAGGCCAAGGCCACGCTCACAGCAGAGCTGGGCTCCGTGTTCTGGGCCGAGGAGAAAGCACTGAACGCCTTGCGGGTGGAGACGCAGGTGCGTGGCCTGGTCTGTCTGGGGCAGGAAGCCGTTCAAGTTCAAAACAGGCCGGGTTTGGACGGGAGTGGAGAGGGCAGGAACGGCGGACCCGAGGCCTATTTGTTCCTCCCGCACCGCCCCTGACCGGGCCAGGCTTGCTCCCGGGCCCTAACTGCCTCTTTCAGGCCGCAGGCACAGCTCAGGCTACTGAAGTTCCCATGCTGACCAGAAGGTGGCGCTGTGGCCCACCCGGGCCTAGGTGGCCGGCAGCCGGGAACCAGCCACAGCTGGGGCAGAGGCCGGCTGTCTGGAGGTGAGCACCTTGAAATGGGCTGCACCAGGCCTCACACCCACCCGTGCCCACACTGAGCCCAGCCGGCTCCACACGAGGGGAGAAGGCGTTTCCTACGGCAGGGATGGCAAATACGGGTCTCCTTGGGGGTCCACGCCAATTGACTGGTTGGGGGCTGCCTGTGGCACTGCCAAGAGAACTCTGGGTGTGGCAGACAAGTGTACTGGGATCGACTGGTGATGTCTGTCATGGACAATGGATAGGGAAGCGGGGGCGAATAGAACAGGCTCATCAACGGTCCTGACTGCCATGGAGGCAGCTGGACAGAGCAGCATTCAGGAAAGAGCCCCCAGTCTGTGGGTCATGTCTGCTGTGGGAACAGGCAGGGACACTACTGGGGGAATACTGTGACTGTTTAGTCACGTGGGCCACAGGACTGGGGCTGTGGCTTATCAGTGAAGAATGCCAGCACTAACGAGCAGTACCTGCCACGGGCATGTGATGGGAAAGGCAGCTGGATCGATTAGCCATGTCTGACATGGGCATGTGATGGGAAAGGGTGCTAGATCGATTAGCCATGTCTGCCACGGGCATGTGATGGGAAAGGGTGCTAGATTGATTAGCCATGTCTGCCACGGGCATGTGATGGGAAAGAGTGCTGGATCAATTAGCCATGTCTGCCATGGGCAGAAGAGCCAAAGATTTCTGCATGTGGAAAAAGCATGCTGTCACCAGGGAGTGACATCAGCAAGGGCAAAAGCTTCCCACAGCCAGAGGCCTGGTATTTGCCATCCCTGACCCATAGGACACTACATGGGCCTGCCAGGAGGCCGCTAGGGGGCAGGCCTGGGGCTGGGGTGGTCAGTTAGTGTCTGCGTGCGGGCAACGGACAGGGAGTGAGCCACGGTGCAGGGCTCCCGGGTTAGTGTGGATTTTAGTGCTCTGGTGTCGTTATTCTGGGGGGAAGGGGTGTTAGGGTCTCCGTCGCTACGAGGCTCTATGACATTGGCTACCACGCTAAGAGGTACTTACCAAGATCTCCCCCTTTGAAAATGCAAGGTTAGGGTTGTGGGTCAATCAGGGAGGAGCGGGCGGAGGAAAGGAGACGGAGGGGACATGAGGGATGGAGGAAAAAGCAAGAGAAGCACAAAAATGGGGAAGAGGAGAGCAGGAGGGGGAGCAGAAGGAAAAAAAATTACATGCTATTAATTAAACTCATGGTGTTAATATTTAATTCATTATCATTTCCCGAAACAAACAAAAGGAACATACATATTACCTAGGGCAAGCGCAAAAAAACAAACCAAAAAAACCAAACCAAAAACCAAAAAAACCAAAACTGAAACTACAAAAGGGGTCATGCAGGGGTTATGTCCTTCCCCCAGCTCGGTCAACAGCACAGCCCCGCCCCGCCCCACCCCGAGCAGGACAGGGGGGGATATTGGCAGCAATTTGGCAAACAGGATGTGTCCTGGTAAAAACCGGTCGATCCACACCAAGACACCAGATTCTGGCGTTCATAGAGCTGTTCACAGGTCCAGGCCTCCAGCTGGGGCAGGACAAACCCTGTTCCTGGGCCTCCAGGCTCTGGGGGCTGGGGGGGTTGGGGGCACCTCCCCCCCAACAATGTGGCTTCCACGGGCGCCACCTACAGGCCGCCCAGTCTGCGGGGCTGCTAGGACCTCAGGGGATTCGAACCCTGGCCTCAGACGTCAGGCAGGGCCTTCTGGGTGGGGGATACGTGTCCCCAGACCCTGCCAACGCGCCAGCGTTCTCCGACCACTTGGGGCTGGGAGTGGGTGGCCGGCTGCTGGGGTGCCCACCTCTGGCAGAGCAGGCCCAGGGCTCAGTCGCCCCTCAGCCCCCTCCCGCATGCCCTCCCCCCCGGCAGCGGCAGGTGTGGGGGGTGGGCTACCTGGTTGGGGATGGCTCGCTTCTTGTTCAGCTGTGTGCTCCTCTGCTGGGCACTGAAACCAAAGCAGAGAGAGAGGGCTCATGTGGGGGAGACGCGGAGACGGCGGGGCGGCGAGAGGCCCTGGCCAGGCCCGGCCGGGGTGGGGGGGCAATGCCCCCTGCATGCAAAGAGCTGCCCGAGGCACAGCGGTCCCAGGCCCTGGTCCCAGCAGCCCGGGGTGCTTCCGGAAGCCAGTCAGGGGCCCGTGATGATGCCACAGCCCCGGAGCTGTCTGCTCGCGTGTGCATCCCACAGCCTGGCCGGCGCGCACATGGACAAGGGCCACGGGGCGTCCAGCGGGCCCCTGCCAGCTCCCTGTGGGTTTCCCGTAGGTTTGTTTTGTTTTTCAGCCCTGACAATCACAAGCAATGCCTCCTCCTGCGGCTTATCCGGCCAACTTCCTTGTCTCGTCTATGGCTCTGGCTGGGACTTTGGATGTCGCCTCTCAGTCTTCCTTCCCTGTCTCCCACCCCTGGCTGCCTTGACCTCCAGGGGACGGGGAGGGTCTCGCCCTCCCATGGCCCTGCGCCCGCCCGCCGTCCCTGCCCCCGGCTCCCTGGGAGTCTGTCCCCAGCCTGCGGCCGACTCGCTCACGGTCCTTCTCCCGGGGCCTCTGACCAGTGCTCTGTCCCCCCCACAGCCAGGCGGCCCCAGTCACACAGCAGGGAAAGGCACACAGCAGGCAATACCCACCCGGTGACCAGCTGCTCAGTATAGTAACAGCTGGGGGAAGTGGGGAGGCCCAGGAATCCAGAGCAAAGAGTGGAGTGGTGAGAGGAAAAACAGGAGAGATGGTGAGAAGGAACTGTGGACGACGTGTGAGAGGAGAGAAGTCAGGGAGCACACGCCGCCGCAGGGCAGCGCTGAGCCCGCGCGGCCGCCAGGGGGCGCCCAGGGGCTGAGGACCACGGGTGGGGCGGGGCCCCGCACAGCTCACTTCTCGGCCACGCGCTCCACCCAGCCGGCCTCCTCCAGGCAGGGCCCTGGGCTGCATCCTGCCGCCTGGCGCGCAAGCCTGACCCTGGCCCTGGGCCTCCCCTCGAGGGGGACCTGGGGCGTGTTTGCTCCCTGACCCATCGCGCTCCCTGGCTCGGGAAGGCAGCCCTGCGGCGTCCGTCGGGCACTGGCTCCACCTCGGGCCAGGATCCCTTCACCGGCTGCCGGAGCGATCCGAGGGCGGGGGCGGGCACCTATACGACCACGCCCTGCCGGCTCCGGGCCCACGACGAGGGGCCAGGGCAGGACCCGCTTCTAAAGCTGGAGTGGACGGCTAGAGGCCGGAGAGACCCCTCCAGAGATTTGATGGGGAAAGGGTCAAGTTTGGGGGACGCTGGACATGGGCCCAGGAAAGACCCTGAGGCCGCAGGGACCACGAGACAGGGGCCGCTCTCAGCTCTCGAAGGCCTCCAGGTCGTGTTGAATGGCCCTGGGACTCCTGACCTCTCCCGCCTCGCCGGGGCCTGGCTCTAAGGACAGGAACAGCTCGCCCCACCAGCCACCGTCCCCAGAAGCACATACTTGGCAAATCCAATGAAGTCCTCGTGGTTCGTGTTGATGTAGGACTGCTCGATGTCGATGAGGAGGAGAATCTAGGGGGACAGGGGTCACTGAGTATGGAGGCGGTCAGAGCGCTTCCCACGCCCACCAGCAGGGGGAGCCCGGAAACCACGCGGCTCCCGGGGCAGGACCCCAGAGCACAGCCCCCAGCCTCAACCACACACACACGCCAGGGTCGACCTGCAGGGCAGAGGGGGTCATGGCTACTTCCAGAGGTCAAGGCCTCACAAGCGAGTACACCAGGCAGAGGCTCCGCCTCCTGGGCTGGGTGGAATGGAGGAATGCATTGGGTGACAGCATAGGAAGTGTTGCATTAGAACTGCAATGCAACCGAGACCTGGTAACTGTTTCAGCAAACAGACACGTTTACCCTGACAATGTACACACAGATCAAAAGGTGTATACACCCTGTGGTGGTGCTGTCCCATAGTGGGCTAAGCCTCTCCCTGCGGTGCCAGCATAGGCACCAGTTCATGTCCCCGCTGCTCCTCTTCCCATCCAGCTCTCTGCTGTGGCCTGGGAAAGCAGCGGAGGATGGCTCACGTCCTTGGGCCCCTGCACCTGCGTGGGAGACCCGTAAGAAGCTCCTGGCTCCTGGCTTTGGATCGGTGCAGCTCCGGCCGTTGTGGCCATCTGGGGAGTGAACCAGTGGATAGAAGACCTCTCTCTCACTGCCTTGGCCTCTCTATAACTCTGCCTTTCAAATAAAATGGTAAATCTATTTTTAAGAAATGTACACACACTGCACACACGTATTGAAACATCAACTATACAGGCACAGTTTTATACTTCAACGAAAAAGAGAAATTGAAGAATCCATGGTCCATGACAGCTTCCATTTTTATTTATTGATTTTTAATTTCAAAGGCAGAGAGACAGAGATTGTCCATCTGTTGGTTTACTCCCCAAATGCCTGCCACAGCCAGGGCAGGGCCAGGCCCCCAGGACCCAGTTCGGGTCTCCCATGTGGGTGACGGGACCGCTCCCTTGAGCCTCACTGCTGGCTCCAGTCCGTTGTAGCAGGAAGCTGGAGTCAGGGCAGGTCTGGTTATCGGACCCGGATACCCAGACAGGGCACGTGAGTGTCTCATCCACTAGGCCCAACGCCAGCCCTCCCGTAAACTCGGAACCATCCCACACGGCGTGTGTGTCAAGCCATGATTTCTTGTATACCATTTTATTTTTCAAAGATTTCTTCTTTTTTATTTATTTGAAAGTCAGTTACAGAGAGAAGGAAGGAGAGAAAGAAGGAGATCTTTCATCTGCTGGTTCACTCCCCAGATGGCCCTAACGGCTGCAGCTGGGCCAGGCCAGAGCCAGGCGCCAGGAGCCCCCATCCGGGTCTCCCATGTGGGTGCAGGGACCCAGCACTTGCACCATCCTCTGCTGCTTTCCCAGGCGCATGAGCAGAGAGCTGGTTTGTAAGTGGAGCAGCTGGGATTCGAACCGACACCCGCAGCGTCGCAGCTGGAGGCTTTACTGGCTCCATGACAATGCCGGCCCCTATCTTATTTTTCTAAGATTTGTCTTATTTGAAAGGCACGGTGACAGGGAGAGAGAGGGAGAGGTCTTCCATATGCTAAATGGCTGCAGGAGCACGGAGCTCCATCCGGGTCTCTCACGTAGGCGCAGCGGCCCAAGGACCTGGGCCACCTTCCGGTGCCTTCCCCGGTGCGTTAGCAGGGAGCTGGATCAGAAGTGGAGCAGCCGGGACTTGAACCAGTGTTCCAATACAGGATGCCGGTGGGGAAGAGGCGGCTTACCCAGCGCTCTGCGCCACAGCGCCTGCCCCAAGGGCACTGACTTGAAAGCACCCACCACAGGGGCTTGAGAACGGCCGTGGGTAACAAGGTAGCCGCTGATTCCGAGCAAGGGGCACACAGAGCTCCGGGCTATTTTTGCTACTTCCTCTCTGATGCGGAAACTATTTCCAAATCAAAGGACAAGAAAAACTGCGAAGCTAGCTGGGCCGAGCGAGAAGTCAAACAGAACACCCTTGCACGTGTGCTCACAGGGGCACACACACACACACACACGTGCACACACACATGTACACGGACACACACGCACGCGCACATGGGTACACATCTACATGCACACAGATACACACAGCGTGCATGCCCACACTTACACAGCTACACACAGATGCACACATATGAGCACAGGGGTACACACCTACATGCACACATATACACACACACATGTGTACAGGGGTTAACACACGTGCACACAGGCCTTAAGGCCCAGGCCCCCACATGGCCCAGGCTCCTCCTTGCCCTTTGCTGCCCAGGGAGATGCTGAACTGTGGGAACCCCGGTCCAGGCGGCTGGGGAGAGGCTCCCTCCCTGGCTGTACGCCAACCCCGCCCTCCAGCCGAGCCTGCGAGTCCTCAGGCAGAAAGTGGGGCCACGCCTAGGGCCCCGCGGGGTCCTTGGGAGATGCGGGCGGCTCCGTCCATCTGTGAGGGCCGGCCATGTCACTGACTTCAAGGACTAATGAGTGGCCCCTCCCCATGGCTGTGGTCTGCGCAGGGACCTTTAAGAGGCGGGGCCTGGGGGAGGGCCTGCGGATGCCGGGGGTTCTGCCACAGGAGTGTGGATGGTAAGAGAGCAAGCCTGGGGCCTCTGATGTGGCACAGCGGGGGAGGCCCCTGCCTGCAACACTGGCATCCCACAGAGGTGCCAGTTCAAGTCCTGGCTGCTCCACTTCCGATCAAGATCCCTGTTAACACTGCTAACGCCCCTGGGACAGCATGGGAGGACGGCCCAGGTGCTTGGCCCCTTGATGCAGGGGAGAGACCGGGATGAAGCCCCTGGCTCCTGGCTTCAGCCTGGGCAATCTGTGGCTGTTGTGGCCTTTTGGGGAATGAACCAGCGGATGGAAGAAAAATTAATAATTAATAAGGTAAATTCCTGGGCCCCGGCCTCTGCCTGGCCACAGCCTTTCCCTCCCGTTCATTCATCCTTGAGAGCGTCACCTGAGGCGGGACGCAGGGGGCCACCTGACCTTGCGGTTTCAGACTCTAAATCCATGAGCTAGCCGGCGCCGCGGCTCACTAGGCTAATCCTCCGCCTAGCGGCGCCGGCACACCGGGTTCTAGTCCCGGTCGGGGCGCCGGATTCTGTCCCGGTTCCCCTCTTCCAGGCCAGCCCTCTGCTGTGGCCAGGGAGTGCAGTGGAGGATGGCCCAGGTGCTTGGGCCCTGCACCCCATGGGAGACCAGGAGAAGCACCTGGCTCCTGGCTCCTGCCATCGGATCAGCGCGGTGCGCCGGCCGCAGCGCACCGGCCGCGGCGGCCATTGGAGGGTGAACCAACGGCAAAGGAAGACCTTTCTCTCTGTCTCTCTCTCTCACTGTCCACTCTGCCTGTCTAAATAAATAAATAAATCCATGAGCTAAGTGAGCCTCATTTCTTTATAACATATATCGTTTGAGCCATAGAAACGCACTGTGGTGCCAGCGCTGTGACGTAGTAGGTGGAGCCGTCGCCTGCAGTGTGGGCATCCCATGTGGGCGCCAGTTCGAGTCCCGGCTGCTCCACTTCCCATCCAGCTCTCTGCTGTGGCCTGGGAAAGCAGTAGTAGATGGCCCAAGTCCTTGGGGCCCTGCACCCACGTGAGAGACCTGGAGGAAGTTCCTGGCTCCTGATTGGCGCAGCTCTGGCTGATGAGGCCATTTGGGGACTGAACCAGCAGACGGAAGACCTCTCTCTCTCTCTCTGTGTAACTCTTTCAAATAAATAATAAAATAAATCATATTTTTCAAAAATGAAAAAGAAAACGCACTGACAGGCCCACTGCTGGCGAGGGCACAGGAACTGTTTCCTCCAAATGCAGGAGGCACAGCGCAAGCACCCACACAGGCCCGCGCCGGCTCTGCTTTGAGCAAACCGTGGCAAAGAGGCCAAAGAAGGCAACCAGAGTCCCGGCGGCTCCGTTTCCCATCCAGCTCCCTGCTAAGGCAGTGGAGGATGGCCCAAGGGCTTGAGTCCCTGTCACCCACGTGCGGGGCCCAGATGAAACTCCTGGCTTCGAATGGGCCCAGCCCTGGCTGCTGTAGGCATTTGGGAAATGAACCATTGAACAGACTCTCTCTCTCTCTCCAACTCTGCCTTCCAAAAAAATTTTTTTAAACAGTTCACAGAGAAAGGAATTAAAAACGTAAGTTCAAGGGGCCAGCACCTGGGTCGGTTCCCAGCTCCTAGCCCCAGCTCTTTCCCATGGACACCCGGGAGGCCCTGATGACGGCTCCAAGAGCTGGGACCCTGACATCCGTGTGGGAGACCTGGACGGAGCTCCTGGCTCCCAGCTTGGATCCCAGGCCAGCAAGGCCTGGTCAGTGACACCCCTTGGCACTTGGGGAGTAACCCGTAATGGTGGGGGAGTAACCTGTAACGGTGGGGTCATTTTGCTGCAGGACATTCTGAAAGCCATGCATAATTCTTTCACAGTGTCCATTTTCCCATGAGCGCTTCCTCCTGTGCCCCACTTGCTGCCTTAGTGAGTGTGCATGCGTGGATCTCTTTGCAATGAAGCGTGAAAACCTAGAGGCACCACAAATGTCACACACCAGGAGACGCAACTCTGCGGTTAAAAGCAACCAACCGGGGCCAGCGCTGTGGCGTGATGGGTAAAGCCGCTGCTAAGACACCAGCACACCACATGGGTGGTGTTGGTTTGATTACTGGTTGCTTCATTTAAAAAAAAAAAAAAAGATTTATTTATTCGAAAGTTAGGGAGAGAGAGGGAGAGGGAGAGAGAGATCTTCCATCCACTGATTCACTCCCCAGATGGCCACAACTGCTGAAGTTGGGCCACACCGAAGCTGGGAGCCAGAAGCTTCCTCTGGGTGGCAGGGTTTTGGGCCATCTTCTCTGCTGTTTTCCCAGGCCATTAGCAGAGAGCTAGATCAGAAGTGGAGCCGCCGGGACTTGGAACTGGCGTCCACATGAGACGTAGGCACTGCAGGCGCGGCTCTGTCCACTATGCCACAACACCACAATGCCAGCCACGTTGGCTGCTTCACTTCTGATCCAGCTCCCTGCAAAAGATCTGGGAAAAGCAGCAGAAGATGCCCCAAGTCCCCCAGCCACGGGGGAGACCCAGATGAAGCTCCTGGCTACCGGCTTCTTTTTTTTTTTTTTTGACAGGCAGAGTGGACAGTGAGAGAGAGAGACACAGAGAAAGGTCTTCCTTTGCCGTTGGTTCACCCTCCAATGGCTGCCGCAGCCGGCGCGCTGTGGCAGGCACACTGCGCTGATCCAATGGCAGGAGCCAGGTGCTTCTCCTGGTCTCCCATGGGGTGCAGGGCCCAAGCACTTGGGCCATCCTCCACTGCACTCCCGGGCCACAGCAGAGAGCTGGCCTGGAAGGGGGGCAACCGGGACAGAATCCGGCGCCCCGACCGGGACTAGAACCCGGTGTGCCGGCGCCGCAAAGCGGAGGATTAGCCTAGTGAGCCGCGGCGCCGGCGGGCTACCGGCTTTGGCTTGGCTCAGCCCTGGCCACAGCAGCCATTTCGGGAGTGAACCTGTACATGGAGGATCCCTACATCTCTCCCCCTCTCTAACTCTGACTTTCAAAACACAAGCAGTAGGCCCGCCCCAGGGATGAGCCCAGCTTTAAGCCTAAATGGGCAGGGAAGGGGCCTTGGAGACTGGGGTGGGGGCGGCAGCCAGGGGCCCGGGCGACGCCTGTGGTCTGACACAGCTCAGCAGCCAGCGAGGCGGGGCCGGTTGCCTTGTTGCACACAAGAGCTGCGCACTGGAGTGGGCCTGGGAAAGGAGACGGGGCCGTACCTGGTCCTTGGTTCTGCCCTCGCGCTCACGGATGTAGGTGGTGACGATGCGCTCCGTCTCCTCTCGCAGCCGGGGGTAGGAGCTGAGCTGGGGAGACAAGCGGAGTGGCCGCGTTGGCGGGGTTCCGGTGGCCCAGGCAGCAACGTGAATCACGCAAGCAGAAGATGCGGGGAAGGGGGGTGCAAGGAGCGATGTGGCGGGAGCAGGATGGTGGGGTGGAAGGTGGGAAGTGGCAGAGAAAAGTGGGTGCACGTCTGCCCCCGGAGGCTGCAGGCACCCCCGCCCACCCAGCCCTCGGGGAGGATGGGTTCGCCGAGGGCCCTCGCCCAGCTCACGAGCAGTGCAGAGCGCCTGTTCTGGGATGGGGGGTGGGGGGCATCTGGGCCATCAACCTCCAGGGGACCCCCTGGTGGAGGAGCAGTTCCCAGACCCTCTTAAAGGGCCCGTCACGTCAGACCACGCAGGCGGCTCTGGGCGTGGCTGGGAGTCTCCTCTCTCCAAGGGTCCCCAGGGTGCACAGGGCACAGGAAACGCAACGTCTCGGCCAAGGCCAAGGGCAGCCGGTCCCCTGGGACGCGGTGCGATGAGCCCCTGTGCGCGTCATCTGATGCTACGGAGCTGAGATGTCGGGTGTGACAAGGGGTCCACGGAGGGGGTCCCACAGAGGCAGAACTTTCCAGACGCCCCGGGGGCTGAGTCGCCGGATGGAAGGGAGGGGGCGGGCTGCGCATGTGCAGACGGTAAGAAGGAAACCTGTTACCTTCTCGGCACACTTTTTAATGACCGTGGCCAGCTCTGAGACCACGAGGTCCACACACTTCAAACTCGGCTCTTTGAGCTTTACAATCTGTTTTTTCACAATGGCTTCAAAGGCCATGTCAGGGGTGAACAGCCCCGTCCTGGTCATGCGGAGGAGGGCGGGACGAGGCAGAGGGACAGCCAGGGACAGTGCAGGCCACACACGCAGGACGGGAGACAGAGGGGGGAGAGAGAGAGAGAGAGAGAGAGACGAGTCAGCCAGTTAGTGCGTGCACCCAGGAGCCTGGCCCTCATTTGCCCCGGAAGCTGCTTCGGATCCAGGAGGCCTGGGGTGGGCGGGGCCCGGGGCTTCCTTTGGTGACGTCCTAGGACGGCCCAGGTGCGCAGAGGCTGAGTCTCCCCGTGGGCTGGGGGAGGACCCTGGCTAACCCCTCCGCGGCGTCGCTTCCCCTTCCCCTTCCCAATCCAAGAAGCTTAAGAAGCAAATGTGGGTTTTTCCAGAACAGAGGCCCAAGCAGAAAGCCCTGCCAACCCGTGCTGGGGACAGCGTGCCTGCCAAGCACAGCGGCCGTGGGGGAGTGCCTCAGCTGCGGCCGACACCGGGCAGGAGCCGGCCCTCCGGGGAGCCCACCAAGAGTGGCACAAAGCACTCACGCCCTCGTGCGTGCGGGGCCGGCCTGGGGGCAGGGCAGCACCCGTGACCTCACCATGGTGCTGGCATTCAAGGCCCTTGCCAACGCCACACAGAAGGGGCTGGGGCCGGGGAGGCCCAGGGCGCTCGGCCTCCAGCAGCTGACGCGGCCCCCTCTCCGCCTCCAGAATTCAGCAAAGCAACAGCCCAACGAAAGCCGCAATCCCATCAGACACATGCTAGGCTTGGTATCAGGGTCCCAGGGAGCGCGGCCCACCCCTCTGGCCAGTTGGCGAGGCCTGGGGCCCACCAGGGCGGCCCGGGCGCCAACACTCCCGCCCGAGCCTCGGGGAGAGGCCATGTTCTCCGGCACGGAGGCGGCGCTCGGGGAGCCTGATACCAAACCCCCGTGGGCGCGCGGGTCCGATACCTTACTGGTACACTGCCTAACGGTATTGATTAGCTCCTGGATAACCAGGTCGACACATTTCAGACAGGGCTCTTTCAGCTTCACCACCTGCTTTTTCACAATGGCCTCGAACGCCAAGTCCGGGGTGAAAAGCCCAGTCCTGAAGGCCGCCCGCGCCCGGGGACAGCGGGAGTGCGTCGGAGAGAAACAAGGCACGGTCAGTGACGCCCCTCGGCCCTGGCCCCAGGCCGCGCGGCTCGCGGCAGGCCTGGCTTCAAGCTCGATTTGGTGATGGTGAGCGAGGGGCCCCTTGGTGGCGCAGGCGGGGACCTGGGCGGGGACCAACACTGCCTTCTTGGGACCCTGGCTCAGCTCCGGGCCCGCTTGCCTCAGGCCCCCAGCGGGGCAGGAGTCCAGGGCCGTCCACCCTCGGGTGCCCTCGTCACTGCCCGGGGAGAGACTTCCAGCTAGGGGATGGCACCCCAGGGCTCCCGGGAGGCCTCATGGGGCGGGGGTGGGGGGCACCCGTGCTGGTGGGCAGGCGGCGCCGTGGAGGGGAGAGACCGCGGCGGCTCGGGCCGGTGCACGGGGGCACTTGCCTGACTCCGTGGATGTTCTTGATGGCGTAGCTGATCTCCCGGCGTAGGTCCTTCTCGTCGAACTCCATCTGAGGAGACACGAGGCAGACACATGCACGGGTGCGCCGGGGCTCCGGCAGCTGCGCGTCTGGGGGTCGTCGTCCCCTAAGTGCGGCCGCAGTCGCCAGGGCGCAATAATCAGCTGGTCAGAAATTCAAAACCAGAAACCAAGAAAGTCGGACTGAAAACTTGGCTTCAGTATGGACGCTATAAAACCAGCGGCGCTGTGGCACGGCAGGGTGAGCCGCCGCCTGCAGTGCCGGCATCCCGTATGGGCGCCGGTTCCAGTCCCGGCTGCTCCACTTCCAATCCAGTTCTCTGCTGTGGCCTGGGAAAGCAGTAGAAGATGGCTCAAGTGCTTGGGCCCCTGCACCCACGTGGGAGACCCAGAAGAAGCTCCTGGCTCCTGCCTTCAGACCAGCGCAGCTCCAGCTGTCAGCCATCTGGGGAGTGAACCAGTGGATGGAAGACCTCTCTCTCTCTCTCTCTTTGCCTCTGCCTCTCTGTTACTCTGCCTTTCAAATAAATAAAATCTTGTAAAAAAAAAAAAAAAAAAAAAAAACAAGGGTAACCCACGGGTGGGAGACCAGCGCAGGGCGGGACGCCCAGCGAACAGCCCACTAGATGCACATGACCAGTTTGCAGAGCAGGGGACGTGCACAGCGGTGCGTTCTTGCCGGGTGACACCGGCCCCCCGCGGTCACCGTCTTCTTTCAGGCGCAGGGCGCACTCTATGCTGTCTACACATTGGAGCGACTGTTGACACACTGTGTCTCTCGGAGCAGTCCCTGCTGCACGTACACTCTGTCTTCCTGCAGCCCCGGAGAGCAGCGGCTGACGGCTCAAGTACCTGCTCGTCGCCATGCGCAGGGGTGACCAGGAGGGAGGCACCAGCTCCTCCCGGCTCTGACCTGGCTGAGGTCTGGCTGTGGCAGGTATTTGGGGAGATGGAAGATCTTTCTCTCTCTCTCTTTTTAAAAGATTTTATTTATTTATTTGAGAGAGTTACAGATAGAGAGAGGGAGAGACAAAGGGCTTCCATCTGTTGGTTCACTCCCCAAATGGTTGCAATGGCCACAGCTGTGCCAATCCTGAAGCCAGGAGCCTCTTCCAGGTCTCCCACGCAGGTGCAGGGGCCCAAGGACCTGGGCATCCTCCACTGCCTTCCCGGGCCACAGCAGAGAGCTGGATTGGAAGTGGAGCAGCCGGACTCGAACCCGTGCCCATATGGGATGCCGGCCCTGCAGGTGGAAGATCTCTCTCTGTGTCTTATTTGACTTCCAAATAAAATGAAAATAAATTTAAAAAAATTTAAAAAGGACTTTTTTTTTTGGGGGGGGGACTGTTATGTGCTCAAGGCAAAATGTCCAGCAAATCACAGAAAAAGAAATAACAGAACAAACAGAAAGTTCCTGGCCGCAGCGCTGCACCTGCTGCCTCGGTGACCCTGTCCCCTCCATCGACACCGTGCTGGGGGCGTTCCCACGGGAGCTCTCCTGCGTGTTCTCAGCACGAGACCTCCCGAGGGGACCGATCACTGCAGGCATTAAGACACCTGCGACCCACATCGCGGCACCTGGGTTTGAGTCCCGCCTCTGGCTCCAGACTGCAGCTCCCTGCTACCGCGCACCAGGGAGGCCCTGCTGGTGGCTCAGGTACTCGGGTCCCTGCCCCTCTGCGGGAGACCTGGATGGAGCTCCTGGCACCCAGCTCTGTGCCCACAGCCAATGCAGGCATTACGGGGGGAGGCAACACCAGCCAGAGTTCTCTAACTCTCTCTGCCTTCCCAACTGAAAAAATCTTTTAAAAAATGACCTGGTACTGCATGCAACCTTGAACTCATCATTAGGGAACTTCCAGTGCCCGATACAAGGTCATTAATGCATACACAGAGCTTTTCAGTACGGTGCAGGGCATAAGGACACGGAAAAACAAAGTCTGTGGGGCAGCGGGTTAAGCCACTGCCCGGGACCCTGTATCCCATATGAGGGCTGGTTTGAGTCCCGGCTGCTCCACCTGCAGTCCAGCCCCCTGCGACTGCGCCTGGGAAAACAGCAGGCGACGGCCCAGCTTCTTGAACCCCTGCCACCCACGTGGGAGGCCTGGGTGCAGTTCCAGGCTCCTGGCTTCCGCCTGGCCCAGCCCCAGACATGGTGGCCATTTGGGGAGGGAACCAGCAGATGGACGAACTCTCTGTCTCTCCCTTTCTCTCTGTTCTTCTTTCAAATAAATAACTCTTTAGAAAAAAGAAAAAGCAGTCCGTTCAAGGTCAGTACCGCTGCGACTGAGCCTTGTGTTTTGCAAGGATTTTCGCTCCCGAGGCGGGTTCGCTCTGCGGATGAACAGCCGCGGGCACACAGCCCTCACTGTTTGCAGAAAACCGCGTCCTGGTCTTGGACAGAGAAATAAAACACGGCACTTCCCTCCGGTTCTGCCCCAACCCCGCCGGCGGCCTGCGGCAGGGGAAAGCCCTCGGGGACAGCCGCTCAGGCCGGGCGGCGCCCACAGCAGGCTCCGGCCAGGGGCCGCGCGGGCCGCTACCTTGACCAGCTCGAAGGGAAAGCGTTCGTGGAAGATGCGGTTGATGCGGGCGCCCCCCGACAGCTCCAGCGTGTCCACCTGGTCTCCCGAGCCCTCGATCCTCTTCTCGAAGTCCACCCCGAACTGCTGCACCATCCTGGGAGGCAAGCAGGCGCGACGTCAGGCGCGGTGCCCGCGCGCTCCCGGAATCGTGTTCCCACTCCAGGCCCCGGCGGGCTTCCTGTCGGCCGAGGGTCCCCAAGCTCGCAACGGGCGCCAGCCTAGCACCCACTGCACAGGGCCCTGCCCTGCCGCTGGGCACCAAGGCCACACAAGGGCCTCAGCCCTGTGGCCGACACAGGCGGCGCCGCTGCTGTCCTCACTCTAGGGTTGCAGAAAGCCAGGCTTGGTCAGCTGCTCTCTTGGTCGCCCCCAGGCTGGGACCCTAGCCGCACACACTCTTTGTCGCCCAGAGACGAGACCTCCCCTGGACGTGGGCAGAGGGCCAGCATGGGCCCGGCAGGGAGCTCTCTGGGGACAGCAGAGGCCGCCTGAGCACAACTCGCCCCCAGAGCCCACCCCCACGCCCTGCTGTGCCAGGGACGGGGACGGCGTCACCTGACGACTGCAGGGCCATGTCTCTCCGCCTCACCCCTGCTGCTGCAGCCACTGGGCCCCCTCAACATGCCAAGGACAGCCCTGCCCCAGGGCCTTTGCACTGGCCAGGCTTCATCCCTTGGCCTTCCTGGAGTCCTGACCTTCTCAGGGACGCATTCTCTGACCACGCCTTCCCCACTCCCACAGTTCAGCACTGAACACACGGGTTCCTATTCACCCATGGCCTGGCCTGTTCCCTCCACGCCCCTACTCTCCGAGCCCCCAGGGGCCGGGCTGGGCCTGGGCACCCACTCTCGGGGAGACGCTGGTGTCAGCAGAACGCTGAGCACGAGTCTGAGTGGACAGCGGCCCTCGCGGGCGGGCCGCGGGGGGCGGGCCGGGGCGGGGCACGTACTGCAGCAGGGCCTTGGTCTTGCGCGTGGGGTCGTCGGGCCGGAAGTTCTTGTACTCCTCCACCTCCTTCTCCAGCGACAGCAGCTGGCTCTGCAGCTTGCTGCGAAGAGCCGGCAGCGACTCCCGGATGTGGTTGGTCAGTTGCTGCAGGAGAGAGGTCAGCGGTCAGAGAAGCCGGCCTGGGCAGGAGGCTGCAATGGGGCAGGCTCCCCTGAGGGCGACAGAGGCCACTTGGCGCTGCCCCCAGCCCACACGGCCCACGCAGAGCACTGAGCAGACGGGTTAGAGAGGCCACGGCGTGGCGGGTGCAGAGAGCCGGGCAGCAAGGTGGGGACGCTGGCCTGCGCGACCCCCCCACGCGCACCTCTCCCTGAAAGGCCAGGAACCCTGTGGGCCCGCGAACTGAAGCAGGCGACTACCATCCGGTGCGGGGACCCAGGCCCACGACACAGACACGGGGTGGGGACGGTGCCCCGCCCCCCACAAAAGGACAGGGAGAGGCAGGGCTGCTTTCCGGAGAAGAGTCCAGAGACACAGAGGTGGGAGACGCTCCCCCCGCCCCGCACCCCCCCAGGCTCCACATTCTGCTTCTGAGTGTGGTGCGCGTGTTAAGGGTTGAACCAGGAGGGGGCGCGACGCTCAGGGCCAGGCTCAGGGCCATGCCCGAGGCCCTGCCGCTGTCGGGGAAGCCACAGGCGAGCAGTGACGTATGTACCTGTGGCTGGCATGGCACGGCCTGTTTCACACAGCACACGCGCCACTGACCCTAACAACCAGCTCTCGGGGGTTCCTCCCCCGCCCCAGGGGACACAGGACCACTGCTGTTTGATGGGTGAGGGTAGGGAGGCCCGGCCAGCCTTGGGCCCTCAAGGCCAAGTTACTGAGTACTTCCACTTAGGCTGTGCTACCAGCCCCCAGCCTTGTTCACACCTAGGGATTTTAACCCAGGTGGCCAGTCGCCCAACTGTCCAGTGCACCAACTCACTGGTTCATCACCAGGCCGCCCCAAATGACCCCCGCCCTGAACTGAGCGCCATTCTCCGTCCAGGACAGTGCGAGTGGGGGCACAGCCACTGTGCAGCGCGCGCAGGCCGCACGCGGTACCTGATTCAGCGTCTTCTGCAGGTGCGGGGTGCCCATGCGGTCGGCCATGTGCCGGTAGGCCGGGTGGGACAGGAAGAACTTGCGCTCGGCCGCCAGCGCGGCTCGGATGTCCTTCTTGCCCTCGATGTCCTTCTGGCTGCGGTTCACGACGCCGATGTAGCCTGCGGGGAGGCAGCGCCGGGCGGGCCACGTCAGGCAGGCCGAGGCGCCGGCCCCCCGCCGAGCACTTGGTAGGGGCTGGGCAGGGTTTGGCTGTGGCAATGGCTCCTGCCTCAGTCACGCACAGACTGGGGCCTGCAGGTGGCCCACCCTGGGGCTGGCACTGTGGCGGAGCAGGGGAAACCAGCGCTCCGGACACTGGCATCCCATCATTGGAGTGCCACTTTGAGGCCCAGCTGCTCTGCTTTCGGTTCGGCTCCTTACTCATGTGCCTGGGAAGGCGACAGGGGGGCAGACCAAGTCCTTGGGCCCCTGCTAACCACACGGGAGCCCCGGAGGGAGCGCCTGGCTCCAGGCATTGGCCTGGCCCAGCTCTGGCTGTTGCGGCCATTGGGGAGTGAACCAGTGGATGGAAGCTCTCTCTCTCTCTCTCTCTCTCTGTCACTCTTTCAATAAAGGAATAAATTCTAAAGCGGGGGGGGGGCCCGCACCTCGTCTCAAGGGCAGCAGCTTATTCTCCAGGACGTCCCTGGCGTCGGTGCCCTCGTCCATCAGGTCCAGCTTGGTGATGACGCCGATGGTCCGCAGGCCTGAAAGAGCCCAGAGGTCAGAGGGCACAGTGTGGGGGGGTGGTCCAGGCCACCTGGGGGCCATTCAGCCCCACCAGCGCCAGGACATGTGGTCTCAGGCCATGTGCCACCTGCCTGGGTCTCAGTCTCCACCCGGCTGAACCCGGCTCGCCCGCCACCGACCTTGCTTCTGTCACCAAGGACAGACAGGCAGCTGCAGGGCTTGGGGACCCAACAGAGCTCCAACTCCGGCTCAGGGCTTCCCTGCCGACCTGGGAGCTAAAATCCCACTCGGGAAGCCAGCCTGGCGAATTCCTCCCTCTCCACGCCACCCAGGGCCAAGGGTGTCCTCATAGCAAAAGGTCATCTTTCTAGGTCAAAAGCCCTCGCCAGGGGCCGGCGCTGTGGCGTAGCAGGTAAAGCCGCCACCTACAGTGCCGGCATCCCATATGGGCACCGGTTCGAGTCCCGGCTGCTCCACTTCCCATCCAGCTCTCTGCTGTGGCCTGGGAAAGCAGTGGAAGATGGCCCAAGTGCTTGGGCCCCTGCACCTGCATGGGAGACCTGGATGGAGCTCCTGGCTTCGGATCAGCGCAGCTCTGGCCGTTGCGGCCATCTGGGGAATGACCCAGCGATGGAAGACCTCTCTCTCTCTCTCTCTCTCTCTGCCTCTCTGTAACTCTGCCTTTTGAATAAATAAATGTCTTTAAAAAAAAAAAAAAAAAGCCCTCGCCAGGGCCTGTGTGTGCACCGCATGTGTCATGTGCATGTGGCCGTGAGCCCATGTGGGAGGACCACAGGTGCCAGCAGGCCCCCCGGAGCATCCCCTGGGGGAGAGCAAGGGGCCGCCTCTGCACACACGCACAAGGCCCAGGGCTGGCGTGAGGAGAGGCAGAGCGGCTCGCGAAGGCCTCAAGTCCAGAATGAGGGAATGCACATGGCAAAGGTGCCCGTGTGGCGGAGAAAGAGGAGACACGGGCCAGAGTTGGGGAAGGACCAGGCCACTGTGTGTGTTTCCGAAGGAAGCCCTGGCGCGGGACCCTGACCCAGCACGGCCGTCACCACCCCAGGGCAGGGGGGGGACCCTGACCCAGTGTGACCATCACCACCCTCGGGCGGGGGGGGGACACTGACCCAGTGTGGCCATCAGACTCCAGCAGGGGGCCCTGACCCAGTGTGGCCATCAGACCCCAGCAGGGGGACCCTGACCCAGTGCGGTTGTCAGCATCCAAGCGGGGAGACAGTGACCCAGTCACCCCAGCAGGGGGCCCTGACCCAGTGCGGCCGTTAGCACCCCGGCAGGGGGGAGAGTGATCCAGTCACCCCGGCAGGGGGACCCTGACCCAGTGCAGCTGTCACTACCCCAGCAGGGGGCCCTGACCCAGCGCGGCCGTCAGACCCCAGCAGGGGGCCCTGACCCAGCGCGGCCGTCAGCACATTTACTGGACGGAACAGTGAAGACGGCCACGCGCCCCAGAGTGCAGAGGCGTCCACAGCAGACAGTGCATGCAATAGCGGGGCCCTGGGACTGCGTCCCCTGGTGTCGCCACGCACGCCTGATGCCGGCACCAGACCGGAGGACCTGGGACACCCGCCGCAGCACGCGTCCCACGTGACGGCACTTTCGCGGGGCGTAAGCTCATGTTCCGCTTTCTGCCCAGCTCTCAGGGCCTGGCGGCCCCTCCCTCGGGGACCTCCCGGACGTCCGAGCCCGCACCAGCTCCCCGGTACCTGCGGATCTGTCACCTGCCGCCCCCCACCCCCCACACACTGAGAGCTTCGGTAACTCCTCACTCCTTCCCGTTCCCGCCCCGCCCTGAGGGGTCCACGGAGGCGACCTTCAGGGCTCTCAACTGTGGCCTTGCATCCAGGCCCAGGAGGGCTGGCCTCCCCCGAGTCCCCTAAATGAACTTCATGCCTGGCGAGGTGGGCACCTCCTCCACCAAGGAGAGGAAGTGCAATGGGTGCACGGCGCCTCCAGGGGACGCCCGCCAGCCGCCACGGCTCAGGCCTTACCCTGGGGGTCCACCTCCTTGGCCAGCTTGAGGGCGTCCGAGTTGGCCAGGTCCATGTTGGCCGGCGTGACGGCCAGGATGAGGCTGCTCTCCCGGCTGATGAACTGCAGGATCATGTCTTTGATCTGGTACTCGATGTCCGGCGGCTGGTCCCCCACAGGCACCTTGGTGATCCCAGGGAGGTCGATGAGGGTCAGGTTCAGCACTGGGGGTGGCAACCACAGGTGGAGGAGGTCAGAGCCTGAGGCAGAGCCGGCGCGGCAGAGACCCAGCTCCCGGCCCCACGGCCCGGGTCTCCCCTTCCAACATCCCGCCCGTGTGCCCAGCGGGGGAGGAACCAGGAAACACCGCGGGGCCACCGGGAGGCCCTGTGAGAGCTGTGCACACGAGAAGCAGGCGCCAGGGACTTGGGGGGTGCGCGATGCTGAGTTAGGGCAGGGATGGCCGCACGCACGGGACCCCCGAGCGCGGACACCGTGGGAAGAGCAGGGCGCCCATCTGCCATCCTGGGGGCGGCGTGGGCGTCTTTGTATTCTGAGATGTGTGCACACATCGCAAACTCACAGATAACTGGATGTTAGGGGCCGGTGTTGTGGCACAGCGGGTCAAGCCGCCTACAATGCCGGCATCCCGTATGGGAGCACCGGTTCGAGTCCTGGCTGCTCCATTTCGGATGCAGCTGTCTGCTGTGGCCTGGGAAGGCAGCAGGTGATGGCCCGAGTCCTTGGTCCCCATCACCCATGTGGGAGACCCGGATGCAGCTCTGGGCTCCTGGACTGGGTCTAGATCAGTCCTGGCTGTTTTGGTCATTTGGGGAGTGAGAAAAAGGGGGAAGACGCAAACGAAAGGGCCGTCGACGGGCGTGCGCAGAAACACGGCCACGGGGCGGAGCCAGCCCGGCCCCACGGGCGCTGCCTACCGTGCGGTGAGTAGACCCGCAGGTTGATGGGCACCGGGGAGATGCCTTTGTTGGTGCCCGTGACCCTGTCGGTCTCCGCCTCGATCTCCTGCCGGACCTCATCAAAGTCTGTAAACTTTTTGGACTTGCAGTGCAAAAACTCGGCATACTCTGCAAAGGAAGGGGAGAGGCGTGGAATGAGCGGGAGAGGGCTCCGCGCGGCCGTCGCACCCACTCCATGCACGAGTGGGGAGCCTTTCTCTATGCCCAGGGGCCTGTGGGTGCCAGGCCAAGTGATCACCTTCAAGATGAGCCTGCTGGGGGCGCAGTGCACTGTGTGTGAGTCCCGCCTGCGGTGGCCATGGCGGGGCCAGTGTTCCCCACCCCGGCCAGGAATTCAGGGAGCAAGGGATGGTAGGTCCTGGGGATTTGACGAGAATAAGACAGGCCGAGGAGCCGTCTCCGAAATACCTGGGGCCAGAGACATGTCAGACTCCCAGTGTTTTCTGGGTCTGAGATATCTACAGGCACAAGCAGGCTACAAGAACGCTCAAAGCAACAGAATGAAGATAAGTCAACTTCTGTGCAAAAAACCGCGAAGTCCACGCCTATGACGGCCCCTCAGAGAGCTCGTAGAAGGGCCGGGCATCTCATGAAACAATCATGCACGGACCTTGAAATAGTTTTCTACCAAAATGCACTTGTCTGTTAATACCCCTTTCCGTGCGTTTCTGACGGCCCCACGGACATGATGAGCTGTTCTGGGCACGGGAACCGAGCCAAAGCACAATACCCATTCACGCTGCATATAAGCCTTAGCCACAAAGCCCGCAGGCCAGCTGCTGCGACATGTGCAGCGTGCCTCGGCGTTGGCTGTGGCTCGTCGAGGAAGGTCAGGTGTGGAGTGAAAAAGGTTGCAGACTCTGGCGGCCGACGTGGGTGGCACAGCAGGCTACGCGGCCACGTGGGACAGCAGTGTCCCATCGGGAGCCCTGGTTACAGTCCCAGTGCTCTGCTTCGGATCCCGCTCCCTGCTGATGTGCCTGGGAAGGCAGGGGAAGATGGCTCAGGCACTCAGGACCTGCTGGTTCACTCCACAAATGCCCCAGAGGCCGAGGGCAAAGCCAGGAGGTCAGGAACTCCATCCGGGTCTCATGTGGGGGGCGGGGCGGGGGAGCACCTGGAGCCGAGAACCGACCCCAGGCACCTCATGGGCAGCAAGGACACGTCACGACACAGAACACGTAAGAAACAACACGACTCGACGGGAGGCTGAACAGGAAACAGCAGGGCAGTCCGTGGGGAGAGGAGGTGAGCGCATTCCAGAATGTTCTCTGCTGCTGGCTGCAAGGGCGCTTCACCAAGCTCATGGAAAACGGAATGAAAAGATAAGCTGATTTGGGTGCCAAAAGCTCTTTAAATCCAGGCCGCTTTCTCACAGGATGCATTTCTCAGGAGTTTTTCCCCTGATGCGTGGATTTCACAAGATTTTGCATAAAACCAACTTATCTTTTCATTGCATTTTCCCAGGAACATTTTGAAGGACCCCTGGGCATGAGACACGGGCTGGGGCCGCCGTGCAGAGTGTACTCCACTGTGGTCTCGGCCACCGTTCCAACGGGGTCACCAGGCTCCAGCGCCTTCCACCTTTGCGAGGTCTCGGGGGCCACAGCGAGGACGCCCATGGCCCAGTGCAGTGCCCGCGTCCCCCCCAGTGAGGATGCCCACGGCCTACCGCAGCGCCTGCGTCCCCCACAGTGAGGACGCCCACGGCCCACCGCAGTGCCCGCGTCCCCCACAGTGAGGACGCCCACGGCCCATGGGCAGCACCCGCGTTCCCCTATCAGAGCTCTGGTTCCAGGCCCAGCGGCTCCACTTCCGATCCAGCTGCCTGCTAACGTGCCTGGGAAAGCAGCAGAAGACGACCCAAGTGCTTGGGCCCCTGGCACTCGTGTGGGAGACCTGGATGGAGCTCCAGGCTGCCAAATTGGTGTGGCCCAGCCCTGGCTGTTGTGGCTTATTTGGGGAGTGAACCAGTTACTGGAAGATCTCTCTGTATCGCTGCCTTTTTTGGAAGTAAATAAATCTTTTAAAATAAATAAATAAAAAGTAATTAACAAGGCGGTGCAGGTCCTGCCAGCCCGCTGGCCAAATCCAAATCCGGGGTCACAGCAGAGCCGGGGTCGGGCCTGTGTGCAGAACACGCAGGTGCTGAGCTCACGGCGCCCCTGCACAGCTCCTCCCCATCAGACGTCAGCATCCGCAGGGCAACGTGGAGGAGGGGCCCCTCAAGGCTCAGGGAACCCGGTTCCTGCAGTGGCACCAACAGGGAGCCACAGGAAGTGGCCAGCGAAGTCACCCACGCAAGGAATGTTCACAAGGCCATGGTCAAGGCTGGAAACAGCCTCCATGTCCACCAGGAGGAGACCTGGCCACACAAACCGCCCAGCCAGGCTGGGGAGGGACCCGGAGCCGCAGAGGCCCAGGGAGGCTTGCCTGCCTGTCACCGTAGCCGAACGGGCGATGGCCAACGTTCAGCCGTGTGCACTGTGGCCAGGCCCTAGGGGGACCCTGTGCGGGAAGGCTGCCCTGCGACCCCGCGAGGTCACCGGCAGGGCTGGAGTCTAGCACACAGCTACCCCGTCCACGGGGCGGCCTTTCATCCAGGTGACCAAGAGGTCACGGGAATGACCGTCGCCTCTCCGGCCTCCTGCTGTAGGTCGAGGGGACTCAGCGGGTTCCGATCAGAGCCATGCTGCGAGCAGAGGGTCCCCCCTCCAGTACCCACCCCCGCCCCAGCTATCAGCTGACCCAGTTCCCAAGGACAGCCACCCTCCTGTCCTGCATGGGGACGAGAGGAAACACTTGGCTGCTCTTCCGGCAGTGGCCACTAAAAATGGAACAGTCTCCCAACCCCCGCGGAACTTCGGTTCCCTCCCGGCCCGCGAGAGAGGCCACGCAGCACCAGGATGTGTGGCATCTGGGCCTCCTCCCACATCTCAGTGAGGTCACTCTGGTTGTGCCTGTGGGGCCAGGGCTCCAAAGCCCAGCATTTGCCAGCTCCATGCTGGGCACTTATAGGCTCAGTCTTCCGGATCCATAAAATGGGCAACACAACAGGGCCTGTGCAGCAGGCAACACCCGCACCGCTGCTGCGTGAGGTGCGGGCCGGGGGAGGGAGCCCAGAGAAGACAAGCCGGTCACCTCCACCTCTTGCACGTCCTGACACAGACACTGCTCCCCCAGGGCCCCTGCTCCGCCTGCCCGACTCTCCCCTACAGCGGCCATCATGCTGACGTCATGAAGCGAGCATTCTACAGCCGCTGCCTGGGGACAGGTCAGCATCACCAAGGCCAGCGGCCCGGCTGCCGGGTCACACAGGCTGGGGCGCTCGGGATCCCCAGCCACGCGCCGCCCCAGGGTCAACACCACCAGCCTCTGAGGCCCAGGGATGCTCCCGCCAAAGACGAGGAAGCGAGGCCTGGAGAGGCCCCCGTGCTCAGGCCGAGGCCGCCCAGCTGGCCAGGGAGGGCACAAGCGGGCGTCAGGAGCAGGCGGCCGGATCGCAGGCTGGGCTGGGGAGCCTGCACTCTCCCCAGGCATCCCGCACAGGCCAGGGTGAGGCAGGGAGTGGGCGAGCCCAAGCGCCTTTCCCTTCTGTTTTTACTTTCAAAGATTTATTTATTTGAAAGGCAGAGTTATGGGGGTGGGGGTGGGGATGGGGGTGGGGGTGGGGAAGAGTATCTCCCATCTGCTGGTTCACTCCCCAAATGGCCGCAAAGGCTAGGGCTAGGCCAGGCCGAAACCAGGAGCTTCTTTCTGGTCTCCTATGCAGGTGCAGGGGCCCAAGCACTTGGGCCATCTTCCACGGCTCTCCCAGGTGCACCAGCAGGGAGTGGAGGAGCCGGGACTTGAACCAGCACCCAAATGGTTTGCGGGCATGGCAGGCTGTGGCTTTACCTGCTGCACCACAACGCCGGCCAACAGCCCTCTCTTGTAGCCTTCCCTCATAAGTGCCCCTCCTGCTGGCAGAGGTGGGGGTGTGGTCCTGGAAGCCCCAGCCTTTTCCCTTGTGGGTCAGAAGCACCCCGCCCAGCTCCCCAGGAGAGGCTGGAGGCCTAGAGGTTAGCGAGGTTAGCATGGGCTGGACTCCGGGGTCAAGGTTAAAAGCTTCAGGGAGCAGGGAGGGGCAGGCGCTGTGCTGCGGCGGGTGAAGCTGCTGCCTGCAACACCAGCACCCCATATCAAAGCACCTGGCTGCTCCGTTTTGCAACAAGCTCCCTGTCAAAGCGCCTGGAAAAGCAGCAGGAAGCTAGTCCAAGCGCTTCGGTCCCGTCACCCACGTGGGAGACCCAGACGGAGTTCCAAGGCTCCTGCCTTCAGCCTGGCCCAGCCTCCGCTGCTGTGGCCATTTGGGGAGGGAAGCAGCAGATAGAAGCTCTCTCTGCCCCTCCTCTCTCCATCACTCTGCCTTTCAAATAAATAAAATCAATCTTAAACAAAATGACTGACGCGCCACTGAGCGACGGCCCTGGAAGGGGAGCACGGCCCTGCTGTTGTCTGCGACGCTGGAGGGGCCGGCCAGGATCTCCCACTGCCCACTCCTCACTTCCTGCCCAGGCACGTGGCGGGGACCCAGGCCTTGCCCTGAGCGGGGTCCCTGGTGTGGCAGGGAAGACGGACGCTGCCCAAGTGTGCTCATGGCTGGTGCCATACCTGCCTTAAACAGACCTAATCCACAGGAACCAGGGAGGGCTTCCTGGGGGAGGCTCCAGTCCACCCCAAGATGACGGTGGCAGGCCAAGGGGCTGGGTGGGGAGCCAGTGGCCAGGCCACCTCTGAAGCAATGACTTCTGCCCGTGACCCGAGGACGCCTGGTCCCAGGGGACCCGTGAGTAGAGCGTGGTGTTTGTCCACTGGCCAGGTTCCCCCTCTGTGCCTCAGTTTCTGAAAGAGAAAACTAGACGGCAGGGCGAGGCGTACGAATGAGGAAGCACGCAGACACTCACGTGTCACCTGGAATTTTTTTTTTATAGGCAGTTAGACAGTGAGAGAGAGACAGAGAGAAAGGTCTTCCTTGTCCGTTGGTTCACCCCCCAAATGGCCTCTACGGCTGGCGCACTGCACTGATCCGAAGCCAGGAGCCAGGTGCTTCCTCCTGGTCTCCCACG